TGAACCTTCTTGGATGCTGGACACTGATGTTCATGACCAGTCTGCACTGAAACCTGTCTTTGTTACTACCAGGATTGGAACTGTTCAGGTAGCTTGGATCACTGCTCTCAGCAAGTGTGTGAGTATCAGTACCATGAATAGAAGCTCACACCCCTATATCACCTGATTTTAGCAAGGTGAGAATGTGACTATACTAATTTGAGTGACAGTAAAATGATGGATGATGCATTGGGAACAGCACTGAAATTGCCCTTGTTCCATAAACCACTATTTCCAGTGGCACAGATTAAAAGGGAAGGCTGCAGACAGGAAAACCTTGCTGGATTAGGACCTCAGCACTATGAGGCAGGTTTGAAAGACAACTCCTAAGTAGGATTTTCAGCATTTTCCAGGAGGAAGGATGCACAGAGGAAGGGTTCATCCAGGCAGCTGGACAGGTGCTTGCAGAAAGGATAAATGAATGACCAAGGTGGATTTTGCTGTCATAGCAGACACAGCTGCTTTGTTCCCTTTCAGCTGCTCTACAGTGTTACTAAGCAGCGACTGCAAATTTTGCTGTGCTCCAGCAGGGGATGGGAAAACTCCTCACATTGACAAAAAGGGGTTGTTAGCAGGAATATAGAGAAATCTGAGATTCTCAGGTCTGTATCCTACACAAGGAATCAGAAGATTTTCAGTCACTAGCTCTGCTGGTGGACATAGTTCAGCAACACTTTGCAGCATTCTGACTTTCCTGTACCACTATGGAAAACAACTATCTGTGATTGCTGACAGTACCTGCACAGGGACATCTGTTCCTGCTGTGTCACCAGAAGTAGGAAGGAGGTTGAAATGTGATGCTGCCTGCAGGGAAAGGTACTTCAGAGGCAGGGAAGCAAAAAGAGAATTGTTTGAAAGCGATTCTCTCTTGATACTTGATGTCCATTTTCAGGATAACATACAGAGAAGTAATCATGCAAATCCAAACTCAAGGGAAATAAGCCTTGGTTTCTTCATCTGGTGCTCTGAAATTCAGCCAGTAACACATGCAGCCAAAATCCCTGAGGTGACAGAGTGCATTGTTGTTTTGTAGGCAATGCATATTGGATTACTGGAGACTCCACACTGTGAAATTATTATAAACCAGTAATTAGCTGGTGATGGTGATAATTTGGTTCAGAATTCTGAAGCCAAATAAAATGAACTGATTAAAAATAATGCACTGTTAACTCGGTCTCTTGTGCAATTAAAAACTCATAGAAACTGACTGAAGTATTTAGAAACATAAGGGAAAACTGTAACTATTTAAAAATGTGCTCAGCTAAAAATAGGTTTGGGTCCTGAACTGGAAATTTTAATTCTTTAAAGGCAGAAGGACATGTTATTGCTCTTCACCTTGGAGAGCTCTCACTCACTTAAACACAGTTTAACCTTTGGATGGTAAAACATGAACATGCTGGAATTAAACCATGCCTGGCACAAGTGAGAAACTCATCAGAAGATGTTTTCTGATGTACCAGTGCTTTGGAAAAATACTTCCTGCAGGTGCTCTGAAATCACCTGGAGTTTTTCAGGAGCAGCTTGATTTAATTTTCAAATCCCTGCTGTGGTCATACAGATATAATCTGGTAGGTCCCTCACGACCAATTACCTTCTGCAGGTGTTAAGTGGTAAAGATAGCCTTGTCAGATGTGCCTGGCTTCTTTTTTGGCCAAATTCAGCTTTCTTGCAGGACACAGAGGAACACAGCCAATGAATGGCTCAGTACAGCAACATTTATAGGAGACTTCTGACCAATTCCAGCTTTGGAGAAATGATACATTATTTGAGAGGTCCATAAAAATGAAGACTCAAGACGATTTTGACCAAGTCCTTCAGTCTGTGGGAGTGGTATGAATGGAACTGCATTCCTGGGAATGATAGGAGGTCCTGAGCAACTCAAGAGACCCTGCTACTGACAATATCCCAAACCACAAGGCCCAGAGAAGGATTGTGTGACTGTAGCACTGTACTCCTGATGGTTCTCCAGGCCCCACACCAACACAGCTACCACCGACCCTGGCAGCAGACACACCCTGGCAGCTGGAGGATGCCAAGGAGGTTGCTCAGGCTGGAAGAGCTGATTCCATACCAGACCAAACAGTTGCAGACACTGGTCACTGCTTAGATTCCTCTCTGAAGGCTTTTTATGTTTCAGGAAAAAAATCCCAAACCAACAAAAATATTTTGAGAAGGCTGTTTTATCAAGCTGCATTTGCTTGAAGAAAAGGATTTATTCCAAGCAAGTAGTGCTGGTACCCATTGCACACACAGACTAACAACAGGAGAAGAAGAAAACAGAGGAGAAAACCACCAAACTTTAAACCAATTCTGCTTTAAAATAATGTCTATACAAAGCCTAGGTACATCAGTGAGAGCTGTGATTTTCAAAGATCATAGAAGCCCTCACATGGGCTGTTTGGTGTCTCTAAAGGAACCATAAGAATTATGCACTCACAGATTACAGAGCAGCACTTTACAATTACATTTGCAGAGAAATTTACCCACAGTTGTACACAGAGAAGTCCTTATTCTCTACCTTTATCCAGCCTCCTAAGGAAATGACCCAACTTGCATATCATCCAATAAATTATAAACCTGCCTGCTGTTTTCAACTAAATGGAAAGAGCAAGAGAGGGCTCAGCAAGAGCTAAAAGTCTCCATGGTTAAACAGCTGGAGGGATGCATTTGAGGTGCATCCATAAGGCAAAGGATGCAATGTGAGCATAGACAGAAGAAAACCTGTGAAGAAAAAAGACCAGATGACAAAAAAACCTTCAACTGGACCTCAGAATAACTGAACCTTGCATTACAAATTCAAAGGTAACAGAGTTTCTTTAGTTTATGAAATATTCTTATGAGCTGAGAATATAATTTCACCCATTTCTTTACATCAGACACGTTGCTGTTTTTCTCCCAGCCTTCTAATAAAATATAATTAATTTACATTTTAAAGACCTTGATGGGTTGCCTCATCATGGAACAGTAAGTGAGATTAATAATCCTGTTACTGAGCACTTAAATTCATGGATCATTTCCACAGTAACATTTTCTTAATTTTAAAAACATACCTTTTATTTGATTTAGAGGTTAGTGCTAATTTATGTAATAAGAGGGAGAAAAGCTGAAGAGCGAGTCAGTGTTTATTAACCTTGCTAATAGGACAGGCTTTTTCAGGCAAAATGGATATATCTTAATTAGTGAAACGGTTGCATTGTCATTTAGCCAATTAATCCTTTCCAAACAAGGGAAGCAGTAGCAATTTTACTTGCAGTGAATGGAAATAAACTTCTCTGCACATTCTGCACATCAATTTACACATTTTAACTTTCCCAAATGCAGCCCTTAGATTCCCCAAATAAGGCACATTTTCCATTATATCACTCCTTTTTCTTCCAATTAATTTTCTGTAACATCTCAGTCCTTTTCATCAAACACTGAACACAGAACTATGAAAAGCCACCAACTGCAGGTTATAATTCTTAAGGTTTATGTCCCATTTCTGGAAGTGTTCAGTAGTCAACCAGGGGTTGAATTAAGTGGTCTCATGAAAAGCTAAGACTTCAGATAATTTAGCCAAATTTCATGGTTTTAGACACAGCTGGACTGGCTCTGATGGTTTATCACCTGCATATCCTGGAGAGATACAAAGCACAGACATCTGCACATTACTATCAGTCCCTTTGAATTTTAGGAAGATTTTCGTGCAAGGTAATGGATTTTCTTACCTTCTCTGCACACTGAAACATGGCCCCTAAAAACCTTAAAACATAGAAAGGAGGATGACTTCTACAGAAAGGGAGTTCATTCATTTGAAGACTTCTGTCTGTCGAAGCATGATTAATTTCCATTGGGATGACCAGGAAACTGTTCTGGAGAAGGGAGGCAGGGTGAGAAAAAAATCTCTTACCGCTGTAAGAAAAAGAGATTAACTTTTTTTAATCACTATTGTTTCTGGACACTTATTCCATCTTTACTAGACTAGATATTTAGCTGATAGATAACAGCTCCAAAGAATTATCTATGTTTGACTTACCTAAGCAGTGAATTATGAACTGTGAATGCTTTCACTGTAAACTCTGATAATGTTTTTGGTCATGTTAAAAGACATAATCAACTCTTAGCTCATCTCTTAAAAGATCAACTGCTTCCCTCAGGACTCCTAGAAGAAAAAAAAACCAATGTGTACAAGTTCAGGCAGTTGTTTGTAGTTAGAGAAATCTGCAGATATCCAGACCTGCATTCTGAACAATCCCTTGTCAATTAGACAGTTAGCAGAAACTTAACAGCTTTTTATTTTTTTGAAATGAGCAGAGATAGTTTGTAGCTAGTATAATACAGGCTATTCTACAGCTTTTTCACCCTGCTTTCCCATTTTCTATCTCCCTGAGCTTTTTACAAGATGTCTACACTGATCACTCTCTGAAATAAACTTTTCTTAGGCGCTTTAAGTATGCCTGGAAAGAAGTATGGCTCCTAGGAATGTAGTGTGTATTGTTGCAATTTCCATGCCTTTTAGTACAGAAGATTTGTGCTTTTCAGCACAAACAGCCTGGATCACTCTGTAAAATGAGCAATCAATTCACTATGGATAAAAACAATTTTGTCTGAAGTCCAGCTTGCTGACAAGAAAGTAGGAAACATCTCAGCTGCAAGATGATATGCTGAGAAATCTCCTTTCCTAGGAAATACACCCAGAGCATTACAGGTTTCTCATGAGGCTCTGCTGTTCATTCACTCAACCCATGCATGCTTTTGCCAAGACCTGTGCACTCACTGAATGAAATCCCTGAACAGCTAGCGAGACTTGTTTGGACATTGTCTTTGCAGACAGTAATGGTGTCCAAGGCTTCCTTTTCCTTAAAAATATCAAATGTATGGTTTACTGTCAAGTCTGAGATTTAGCAACTTACCTGCAAAAATTCAAGGACAGGTCATAACTAAAAAAAACAAAATCAGAAGATTTTGGTCATGAGGTCTTTTCACATTTTATTTTAAAACTGTGGGCTATAAACTAATTACCAAACTATTTACATGGTAGTACTGAGGTTTTCTGGTCCTTCACACCATAACAAAATATGCAAGTGCAAGGCTGAGGTTCCTCACTGGAGTAAATTTGGTGTTTGGGATAGTGAGCACAGTGAGAGTCCTTGACAGAGGACAGGACATTACTGGTGGTTCTCTTCTCTTTGCATATGAAGTTGCTGACCTCACTGAACAAAAGTAAATGTAGCTGGGACAGGGGAGGCCTCATACATTAACAGGATAAGCAGGGCCAGGCCATGAACTTTGTAAAATTACTCTTATCCCAGAATAAGGGTTTTATTAAGTGCTTTCAGCTTCAATGTCTCCAGATGTTTTCGAATCTTCTCTCCCATCTCACTGTTCTGGAATTGAAAATGTCCATCTGGACCATTGTGTGGGTCTCTGCAAGAAATTTAAAGCATCATTTGTATTTATAATAATCAGGAAAACTACTTAGGAATGTCTTTAAAATCCAGAGAAAGAGGCACTCACAATTTCTTTTCTCATAATGAACACAAGGTGTTCCATTACTGATGCAGAACTGAAAAGGTAGTGAAACTCTGGAAAGAACACTTAACTCTTGGCTTGGCCAGTCAGAAAAGTTAACTGTCTGACAGGTTAACACAAGCTGACTATTACATTTTATCCATGTAGGGACACATGCTGTGATTGCCAAAGAACAATCAAACAAATTTGTCCTGGTTTGCCTTAAGGACAGAAATGCTGAAACTGCTGTAGAGGAGCAATATGTTCTCTGTCACCCAGTGAAACACCACCACCTCAATAACAACAAAGAACCTTTTAGTGACAACATAAAGGATTGGGACTTCATTGTTTGCTAAGAAATTTTTGCTTCCCTCTTTACAAACCCAAAATAATAGAGAAGATTTCAACAAGTAAATATCAATACCCAGAGTTGTCTAATACTAATTTTTTTTTTCCTGAAAACATCTAAGATTAAAGAAAAAAAGAAACTGAAGGTTATAAAATGACTCACCCAGGAAAAGCACTATCCACCACTGTATCACTGTGGAGGAAAAAGGTCACTCTTTAGTTACTCAAGCTGTCCCAAATCCCCATGTTCTGACAACCAGTGTCATAAAATGTAAAAACCAGTACTGAGTGCAACACATCTATATTTTTACAGCAAATTCTTTTCAATCAGTGCTGTAGTAATCACTAGACAGCAATCAGGGTTTTGTCGGAGACCTCACAATAGCAGCAATGTTTTAAATTTTAATAGCTGACAGCTGAATGGGATTTCAATGCCAATCACATTACTCCCCTCTAATAGTAAAGCAGACATTCAAATCTCTTGATAGCTCTGAAAGATGAGGTTATCTTGAACATCCTGGTATCTAAGCCACATCATGACCACTTTAAAGAGGGGAGAACTGTTGGACAGAAATGAATTCACTTGCCCCAAGGTTAAAACTCAGCACTTTCACCTGTGGTGCTCTGCACTCGTCACCCACACTGCCTGCTGTGATGTTTGTTGGGGGAGTGTGAAGCTCGAGCAGAGCAAACATGAAACTCCTAAGAAAAGCCAGAAAAAAAAGCACCATGCCAAGGGGAAATTCTAAGGGCCCTTTTCTCTGCCAGCATTAATAAATATCTAACCAAAAGGGTCAATGAAAAGCAAAAGTCACTGCTCCAAGAATGAACATCTCTAAGAAAGCAAGCAAACCGCCTCAAGTGTTAGATCATGCTGATATAACCATAATCAGAGATTCAGGCCAATGCATCACGGTCACAGCTGCTTTCTGAAGTAAAACCCAGAAACTGAATTTGCAGTGCAAATTTGCTCAAAGCACTAGATCTGCTTTCCACTTGTAATGGAGTCCCTAGAGCATCTCAATATGACTTTCTATGCAATTCTGAAAGGAATGCTTGACTTTAGATTCCGTTTCTCTCTCCTAATTTCAGAATATACCTACCTTTCTATTTTTGCTGATTGTTCTTCATCTTCTTCCGAGAGTGCCCCCCCAATCTGTGGAAATTCAGCTTTCACCATCTCTGGAGTAAGACTCATGCTGAACTCAGCTTCATCTGTCTCACTGAAAATTAGTAAAATGATGAACAATTTGCCTTTGTCCTTCTGAAAGTATTTTTTTAGCCAACAAGAACAAAAGTATGTTTTATGCAAAAGACACTTTGTGCTTTTGCTTTTGAGGATCTCTTGGGACAGGTTTTGACACATCCATACAAGTGGTTTACACATAGTCAATAACAGTATATACAGAACAGAGGAGAAACTTACTGGTCAATTATGTTCTCTTTGTCTCTCTCAGGTAAGTCATTCAGCACTGGTGGTACATCTGCTGGAAGCATATCTGAACTGTAAGGGTCCCTGTGATGGAAATGGTATTAGTTTAATGTATTAATACTAATGGTATTTTCATATTTTGAAGCTTCACAGCAGTTGCAGTTATAATGAAAATAATGTACTTTTATATATTTGTGGAAAATCTGGCTGCACCAGAAACTGCTGTGATATGAGGCAATGTGAGCCTGAGAGATGTTGGCTGCCACTGGGTGCAGGTGTCCATAAATTAAAGGTTTTACAGACAGATAGAGTTTGTACCTCCTGGGGTCTTCTAGGACTGAGTCAACAAGCTTTCAGGAGAGATGTTATTGAAAGTCCAGACTGGAATTCTCCTTCCTGGGCTAGGCATTTCTTTTAATGGTATTGTTCTTAATCCACCCTTCTAGGAGCTCAGTAGGAGCTTTTTCTGTATCTGTTTTGGATTTCTGAGCAGCAGTTAATTCCACTTGTAGGCCCACTTTCATTTGTGGAACTAGTGACTTATCAATGTAGTTACAGGTAGCAGAAACTAGTGCAGGACAGAAGATTTGCATTTTCAAATTCTTTCTTACCTAAGTGCTGTATTTGTCAATGTGGGAATGTTAGAAAAAGTGGAATACTCCAGTGGTGAGAATTTTCTCCATTCCATTACTCCACAAATCACTTCCTGAAATGACAATGGATACACAATCAGACCTCTAATACTTAATGCTATAGGGAGAGAGGCTTGCAGGACAGAGCATCTTGGCTGAGAACTGAACTTGGGGAGATGAATATTTCAAAGATCCTTCCAAGGACATGAAAATACAACAGTGAACACATGGGAAGGGCAAAGAAATACAAAGGCATAAGTAAGAGACATGGATAAAGCCTAAGTAGAATTAGTTATTCTGACCCATGTACTGACTATTTAGGTGCATGCATAATTTATATTTGAAAATATTTTCTATCTAGAATGACTCCACCTTCCATTTTGATTTCTTAGAGCAAGTTCTCAGGAAGAACATACCCAAGACACGTACCCATACAATAAACCCAAAAGGCCATACCTTGTGATCCAGGAACTTCTTTTGTGTGACTGGAATACTGGATCCTTTGGGGCATTCCTTGGTAACAGTATATTTTGGATGAGGACAAAGATGATATTCAATATTTGATTCACAGTAGGCCAAAGGACGTAAAAATGGAACTAATCCTGGAGTGGGGTTCTAAAAACAATGAAGAGATTATTTTAATAAATTGTTCTGAGTACCATAACAAATCTAATTAATGAAAATTCAGTTCTTACAACTAATATTGTACTCCCCAGATTCACAGTTTTGTCTTATTGTGACTGCTCTGTTTGGTATGATCCTTCACTTTCTGTACCTTCCCCTCATCCTACAATGTTGTCTGATTTCTTCCTGCTCCCTACTGTCTAAAATACAGCAATTTAGATGTTGTCTCCAAGTCTGGAAGAAAAAACTATTGCCTAATTATTCTGAAATCCATTGATGATTCTCTGAATAGTTCAGAATTCTTTCTCCAAGAAGAGAAAACGGACTTGCTAAGGTGGAAGCCACAGCACACATGGCTTCACATTTTGCCATCCATTTCCCTGCTGATGATTCTCTGAATAGTTCAGAATCCAAGAAGAGAAAATGGACTGGCTATGGTGGAAGCCACAGCACACATGGCTTCACATTTTGCCATCCATTTCCCTGCATTAGCATCTGTTTCTGGATAAAGCCCAGTGCTGGGTAGTGTGGGATCAAGCTGTGCTTGGCTCTCACACTGCTATGACAGAGGGATGAAAGAGATGCACAGAGGATCTCATCAGCACGTCCACTGGAGTCCTGGCTGCGTGTGAGGAGGACGAGTCTACATCATAGATGTCATGCCAAGGTCACCAGAGCAGCACAGTGGGCAGGGCTGGCAGCCAGAGCCACCCACTGCAGGCACAGTGCCGTGCTGGTGGGAGATCTGCCTGTGCCCATGCACAGCTCTGCACTGAGCCCTACAGCTGTCTCAGAGGCACCTCGGGACCTCCAGGCTGTGCTGCACTGTGGGAAATACCTCCTGCAGCTGGTGCAACCCAGCACGATCTACAGGACAACAGTAACAGAAAACCCTCCCACGCAAGTGGCAGTGATTTTGTGAATCTCTGTGTCTAACAACTTGGAAATGTGGTTTGGGATGCTGTGAGAACTCTTAGAAACTGTAAGGCAGCAGGATGCAATGTGAGCAGAGTTTGACTTCACTTCTCTGTTTACCCAAGGATTGGGCAGATCTGTAGTCACCCAGGTGAACAGGAGGAAAACACTGCACCTATCCTACCTACCTGGGCAAGAATGTGAGGTTACAGATGGACTGATGCCAAGATCATGGCCTTTCCTCTAACATCCAAATGGGGAAACAAATGGAGAAGAAGGGAGGGGTTCCATGGTGTTCCCAGAAATCCCATGATCAATGATCATTTGTGGAGTGTCAGACTGGAAGAGTCCCCAGTTCTGTGCTTTCTCTGCAATTTTGTCTTATCATCCCTCCCCTGAACTGATCAAAACCCACTCTAAACTGAAATGGAGCCCCACTCAGTGGGATGAACTCTGTGATTCCTATCTACCACAGCTTGCACCATTAGGATTAGTCTCACTCTGGATAGTTTTAAAACCAATCTGAGTAAGAAAACTTCCCACATATTCCACATCAGGCTTCTGATGAAACAAGCATGCTTCTGCTCCTTTCTTAAGTTCTTTATGGAAGCCAACTCCTACTTACAAAAATGCGAAGTGGGTTGCTCTCTCTTGGATGGAATAAAGCTTGGGGAGGAACCAGGTTTAACAGGCTGATATCCCCTTCTGCTGCTTCTTTGTCAAAATCTCTCCTCTGAGAGGGCTGCCCCTCAGGAGAAGGAGCTAATTGAATCAATTCATCCTTGAAAAACACAGACATCAAAGATTTTTAGAGTGTCGTAAATTTTCAGTATAAAATGTTGAGACAAAATTAATCAAACAATTGTGGAAATGTAGGGTTGGGAGTGACTTTGTTACCTGGGCTCCCTGCCTCAGTGGTCGGGAAAGTTTTACAGGTTTGTAACTTGTAGCTGCATAGTGTGTACAAACTGGCTGATACTTCACAATGTTGCAATGCTGAGGAATCTAAGTGCAAAGAAAAAAGATGTGCTGCAGAAAGTGACAATAATCACTTTCAGTTAACTCCTAAATGGAGTGGAACACTTGGCTTTATAATGGACACATCACATCTCCATGGTAAAAGACACTTGGAGCGCTCTCCCATGACATGACACATAACCAAAACTTTAACAAGCCACACTTCACCAGGACTTTGATCTCTGAGATACAATAATTTCAGCTGAGGTCTGGAGAGAGGGGACTACTGCTGGCTGTAAACTGGGTACTTATGGAAACTGGTGAGCTTTGGTTTTAATAAAATCATGCTAATCATACAGCCTTATTAAGGCAACATTTTTACTGGGCTGTGCATGCAGAGGCCATTTAACTGCACAGGTGAGAGAAACATGGGGGAGCTGTACTGACTCACCTTCAAGTCATAAAAAGGAAGAATATTTTCGACTTTCACGTCTACAGATTCAATAGGAACTGGGCCAAGAGCATCAGGTGCCTGAAACAGAACAGTATTTAAAACCAGTAATATGGTGGGCATTTTGTTTCGTATTGGCAACAATCCATAAGCAGAGCTAATTGAAAACATATGCAAATAATTATGCAAATATTTACTTTATACAATTTGATATTTCTGTTGTTCTTTCTTGGACTCCAGCATTTTAGTTATTTTTTTTCTTTGCTTCTGAAAAATGGATGTTAACTAACTCTGAGCATTAATGTATTGCTCACAATTTTAAGATACAATTAAGAGAATGAAAATATTTTTTACTGTTTTCAGCAGAATCCTTAGTAAATCTGAAGTCCTGAATTAATTTACCAGAACCCTGGAATAGCAGTCACACTGTGAAATTTTAATAAAAGGACTATCAGCCCTGGGGCCAATGTCTCCAACAAAATTCTATCTAGAGTGCTGACTAATATTAGAGTTACTGTACCTACCAAATAATTTTGTAGTTCATGGGACCTGTAAAAGGGGAATTCAAAAGGCAATATACGATCTTCAGATATTCTGGAAGAAAAGTCCTTATGTTCTTCACTCTTCTCTGCTTTGCTGAAACTCCTGCTTTCTGTCATGATTGGAAACCAAATATTAAGATTTTGTAATATATCTTAATACACTGTTTCAGAAATAGAATCAAGCACAAAATGTATTTAATATTTTCCTAAACCAGGATGTCTAGTAATTTAAATATAAAAACTAAGGTAATAGTTCCTAAAGACTTTAAATGTCACATCTATAAGATATGAGCACAATATCTTGAATAGCAGACAGATTTAATTTCCTCTTTCCTAAAAAGACATCACAGCCCATTCCTTCCAACATGGTTCACAGCAAGGCTGAGACAAGTCAGAGGCCTCTCCTCTCTTACACTAAACACCTTCTATTTGCAGCATTCCTGCATCTCCAGCATCCTGGGAACTAAAAGTGCCTATCTGCAGAAGCAGGAAAAGGCCTCATATGGAACAGTGTGTCTCAGGAGCTGTCAAATTGTGTGTGTCTACAAGGGAGTGAGAAATAGGAGACTCAAATTCTTCTCTGTCTCCTATTTACCCAACTGTGACTCCCACCCAAAGCTAGTTTTCTTCTGTGATGTTAAATAAAAAGTCACATTTCCAAACCAGCACTTTCATTTCAGTGTATAAAAAAGCAATTGATTAAAAACTTCTGTGAGAAAACAATGAGAACAAAAACTCAACCCAGTACTGCCACCTGGCAATGTGCCTTATGGTTCCTACTGCTCATTTCACTGAGTTCAGACATCTTGCCTTCATCACATTCAGGTGTCTTTCTCCCTTCCATCCCCCCTGCAGTAAGCTCCTCTCATCCTGGGACTCTCACCTCCTGGGCTCCACCTGATCTGTTCATCTCCCTGTCTCTCACACAGTCCCATCTGTCCTTTCATTGCTCCTCAGGCCTACACACAGAACCACAGAATGGTTTGGGTTAGAAGGAACATTTAAAGACCACCTAGTCCAACCCTTCTGCCAGGGGCAGGGACATCTATCACTACATCAGGTTGCCCAAAGCCCCACCTAACCTGGCCTTGAACAGTTCCAATGATGGGGTATCCACAGCTTCTGCCCTGTTATTAACTAGATGAACTGCAAGGCTTCTAAGAATAGTTAATCACATTTCTTAAACATGGTAAATAATGTGTATGGAAAATAGATGTATCTTGACTACAGTCATTTCCACCTCTCAGCAGGGCCTGTTGCCATAGGATAAGTGGTAATGGTTTTAGAACTAAAATAAGGTAGTTTCAGACTAGATACAAGGAATAAATTTTTTTGCAACAAGGATAGTAAAACACTGGAACAAGTTGCCCAAAGAGGTGGTGGGTGTCCCATCCCTGAAAACATTTAAGGTCAGGCTGGAGAGGGCTCTGAGCAACCTGCTCTCATTGAAGATGTCCCTGCTTATTGCAGGGAGGTTGGACAGGATGGCCTTTAAAGGCCATCCAATCCAAATCACTCTATGCCTCTACCTTGTCACATTTCTGTTTCTTTCTGGAAAGCTCCTTTTTAAGGACTCTGTATTTATATGTAATGCATCTGACACACTGCAGCACAACCTCAATTATCACAGGCCATGGCCAAAATATCAACTTGTTCTTCTAATCCTTACCAGACACAGACCCTTCTTCCAGACCTCCAGCCTCCCTGGGCAGTCCACGGAACAGAAGCAATAAACGTTTTAGGCGAATCTGAACCAAAATCTGAAAGAATGATTTTTAAATTCAAGTCAAACACCCTAAGATTTACAGCCATAGAAAGACTGTATATGTTACACCTGTATTTATTCTCCAGAGCTCACTCAGACACCTCTATTTGAGAATTTTTAATATAGTTTTCTGTTCAGAGAAAATGGGAAGGAAAGATGTAGAATGGATCTCAACTCTATAATGACATTTCACAATAAATACAGTTAAATTTTTTAATTTAGTCTTACAGGTTAATCAGACTTTTTTTTTTCTTTTCTTTTGCTAGGTCCTAATCCTTCAGCTGTGTTTACTGGCATAAACAGATTAAACAGAGGGTGAACAGTCAGTCAAGCAGGGCCATATGAATATTTGTAGCTCTGAGAATGAGGAGAGTAAACAGCAACCTGCACTGTGGTTTTGCCCACATCCTACAGTGTAAAAATGAAGAATCCTAGGTTTTAATACCAGATGGGACCATTTGGTCGTCTCTTTATTTATACAATAAAAAAGAGCATTTAATTTCAAGACCTCAGTATTATAAATAGATTGAAGAATATCCAAACTGGACACCAGAAGAGCAGGACATCTCCATCTTGCTTGCTACATTAAGATTTACTGAGGAAAAAGTAGTGATGATGCAAGATAATATTTAAACCAAATGAAATAAATTATTTTAGTGATTGGTCTTTAGTTTCCAGATCTCTACCTCCCTTATTTGAATTTCTACCTGTTGTTTCCATGTTCTCATCATGCACCATTGCAAAGATCCTCCATCATCAGTAACCTCAGAGGAGCTGGAAGGTGCTGTTCTCTCCCTCTACTTTCCCTCTCCAGATTAAATGTCTCTTTACAGAGTAAGTGCTCTAAGCCCTGAACATCGTGGTGGCTCTACACAGAACTCACTCCAGCTTATTAAAGTCTTTTCTGTACTAGGGGCCCAAAACTGGGTGCAGTATTCTATATGCATTTTCAAATCTCTTTTGTACAGAAGTATTTTTTACTTTTAAAAAAATCTGAATTTATCTGCATTTGTTTAGTATCAATTGCAATATGAAAGATGAGTTGAATACAAAACTTACTCCAGATACTTATTTCCTGTGAGGTAGGGGCATATTTATTAAACTACCAAATCCCTAGCTAGCTGTGAACAGTTCTCACATACTGGTTGCATGTTCTTTTGTGCTGTTTCCCAGGTGTCATGCCCTCACACTGCATTCTGGTTGTTCACTTTACCTTGTATGCTGCTTGTTGGAATTTCCTGAACATCCTCTTTCTACTGTCCCAAGGGTCATTACGGAGCAAGTCGAATGTGGGATGGACACTTGGTTCCTGCACAGTGTATTTTTTAAAAAGGGAACAGAAAAGAAAAAGGACAACCCTTTTTACAACTAGATAAGGTAGAACTTTTCTCCATCCCAAGTCATACTTTGGCCTGAATCCGTATGTTATTTCTAAATACTGAAATTGGGCCAGTGAAAATATTTGCAGCATTGGCATTTAACCAGAAGCCTTCACTGGAGGGCTTAATGGGAGGTAATCACCAAGAGTGTGCAGATATAGCACAGGGAATACAGAGATAATGGGGCATGATCTGCATCCACACAAATGACCAGCACAGACTGGGACTTCAGTGCACTCCATGGGCATTTGGACAGCAGAGAGAATGGACAGGGGCTCTACCAAACACACAATTTATCTTGCACAGACATGAAGCTGAAACAGCTGTAAGGACTCAAATCAGGCACCCAGCAAAATGAGTATCCCTTCTCCAATAATGGCACATACCCAAAGAAGAATGAAAGATACCAAAGAGAAGGGCAAAAACATCTAAGTACCAGAAAGGTTCCTGTCAATTTGACCTGCAGGTAAAGACTGGAAATCTTGTGATATGCTTAACCTTACAATGAGGAATAAGAAAGCTTCTCACAAGAGATCTTTCAGAAACAAGCAATAAAATCTCAGGTTAGGCCTCCAGATTTCCACTTGACTCTCACATTAGATCAGAACATTAGAAGATGAGCTGTGCATGTAGCATGGTGCTTGCCCTACCTAAAAGTAAAATGGGAAATAAGGCACTGACACAGAAATAGGAATATCAGGAGGAAAAGTATTCAGTGTCAAACATCTATGACTATTTGTTAGCTGGAGAGGTGATAATTTAGCATTCATACAGCAGACTCTAAAAACATATGAACAAACCTGGTCGACATGCCGGGTAACACGTCTGAAGGAAACTTCTACTTCACCCCTCTGAAACTCCTGTTCTATGATAGGATCTCCTCTTTGGAGCTAATTTAAAGAAAAATTACATTAGCACAAAGCATCCAGTGAATTATTTCCTCCATTACAATTAGGGAAATACACAATGTAACACTCTGGAGGGGTTTAATGAAACACAGACTTCATTCCCTTTTAGGGTGTGATTACTGCAACCCTTAAGCAAGTCAAACAAAGTAAAATAATGTCTTTTCAGGTCTGAGTTTCAATCAAATCTCTGTCCTAATGAAATATGGTTTGCTTTGCATAGCCAAATCAGCAGGATAGGAAATAAGTGCATCTAAAACTAATTCAGTAATACATCAGTCTCACAATTTAGATCCTTTTTCACCCACTTCCTTCTTCTTAGTATTAAATATAATGTTTTATATTGTCTAATTCAGTGTATAAATCAAGCCTCTACCCTATGTATAAATAATTTCACTCCCACAAACAGCTAGAAGTCAGTGGGATGCCAGAAGCTACTTGAATACCCAGGAGGCAGGATAAGAGGGACAGGCCCCACCTGTCCCTGAGAGCTGTGCCACACTGGGAAAAATATTTCCTGCCACCAAGTATTGCTTATTGCTGTTGTCACCTCTGTGGAAGAGGACCTGCAGTGACTGGAAGAAACCAAAGAGAGAGAGGGTGAAAATGCAGAAGTGCAACCTGATGAATTATCTCCCCATGGCTCTGTGTGGGAGTACTGACTGGATCCAGCTCTTTGAATGTGAGCTATTCAGGACAGCAGCTCCTCAGAGGTACAATACAATCAGAATGTTGGATGTGGCCTTGGTGCTGACAGGATTATGCTGGAATGTGGCACTAGAATGTGGCACTCTGGCAGGGTAGAAATCTGCTTACTTGGAGAAATATTGTTACATTTCTGGTAACACCTTACTCTTCTCTCTGTCTACCTTCAAGATAAAAACACCCTGAAACAGTGATGCACGGGCACAATAAAGATATGACTACAGTTACAAGCACAATTAGCACAGGTTTGCATTAATGAAGAAAAACTGAACATGTAGAGAACTTGATACAATTCACAGTGCACTACATAATCTTAAAGTATAAGATTTTAAATTTACAGAAAAACCATAAAAGACTAACCTTGTACTGCTCTTCTTCCCTTTGTCGGCTTTCAATAATCTCTCTTTTAAACTCCACAGTGATTGGATCACTTCCCTTATGAACTTGCCTGCATTTACAGTGGAGACAAGAAAAATGCTTTACTTAATGCACAGTTTGCTTTATTCAAAGGCTAACAGACTTACTCCCCTCTTCCTGAGGTGACCAGGTGTCCATGACATTCTGTGTATGAGATGACCTGTGGATTTCAAATGAAACCATCATGTGCATAAAGATCTAATTGTGTTCTGCTTTGCAGCAGTTGATGTACAATACAATAATGAAATCATTAAGGCTGGAAAAATCCTCTAAAATCTTTGAGTCCAGCCATTAACCTAACACTGCCTAACACTTCACTAAACTATGTCCACATCTATCAGCACTACATCTACATGTTTTTTGAACACTTCCAAGAGTAATTCTGCTCTTACTCCATTATTCATTTTAGCCTCAATTTATTGACAGCCAGGACAAAATCTTCCTTTGGCCTTAAGGGCACAAGATGACATGAGAACAAGGTTAGGCAAACCAGGATTTCAGCAGGTTTCTTTTTGAATGGAACAATAAGGCAATCAAAGTCCTCATTGGGTACTACTATGGATTGCTGCTGAGTCTGCTCTTAGCAGGAGAGATAAAAAAAAAACAACAGTCATTTAGGCTTAAACCAAACACATTGAGACACAAAATGGCAGCATTCTGCACTAATGGACATTGCATATACCATTCATAGAGGCTTTGGTTAAGCAAATCCCAGTCTTGTTAACATGGTTAATTAACATGATTAACTTACACTTACCACTTTAGATGATTTGCTTCCTCTTCCTGAACATTTTGTTTGACTTTTAGTTGAAATACAGCATCCTTCATCTGTCTTGTTTTTTTCCCTTCTTTGCCTTGGGACAGGGCTGCAGGAACATCAGAAACCCAAATCACACCTCAGTCTAGATTGGATTTTTAATTGTGAGAAACATCCATTAAGATAACTGTACCCATTAATACATAAAGCTAAGGAGAGAGTTCTCACAGAAACAACAGTCACATCACATCAGCAATTCTGAAGCCAAGCTTGTCATCACAGCTACAAATAATGCTAAGACCAAGTTTATACTGCTTAATTACTTACCTTCTTTTATGTCCTTTAACTTCAATTTGCCTGGTTCCTGAATCAAAACAGTAGCTACAGCATACGGATTTGACAAGTCTGTAGGGAATCTGAGGTTCTGGTATTCAATTTCCTATGAGATATAAATTAATAGGAAGGAACTGAAACATGGAAGAGCTCCAGCCCAGAAAAGTACTTGTAATTATTATCTTTTCACACCTTTAGTTTTTGAACAGGCTTCGACTGTAGTTGGCTGAAGCGGTCTCTTCTCCACAACACGGGTTTTCCAGACACAGCTTTTTTCTCTGGATGTTTTCTTTGTTGTTCATCAAAATATTCTTTTCTAGATGTCAGAAGGACACATATTCCTTTCATAAGTATTCTCTAAATAGCATATAAGTCAAATTTTTTCACAAAAAAATTAAGTACAGTCCAAAAGGCTCAAACCCCCCTGCATCTTGCAAGGCCTCAATAACAAGAATAATGAGTGGGAATGATAGAAGCTGAGGATGCTCAACATTTCTGTAAGGATATGTAACTTCTCATCAAATTTATTTTGTTTATTTCATTTCATGTAGATTAAGGATATTCTAATCAAACAGTGTAAAAAAGCAGGTACATGTATCAATAGTAGCCCGCCCCGCATCTTGCAAGGCCTCAGCAACAAGAATAATGAGTGGGACTGATAGAAGCTGAGGATATGTATTCTGTAAGGATATGTAACTTCTCATATTTATTTTGTTTGTTTCATTTCATGTAGATTAAGGATGTTCTAATCAAACAGTGTAAAAAAGCAGGTACATGCATCAATAGTAGAATTACTTCAGTGCATTGTAAGTCTGCAAAGAAACCAATGCTTAAAAAGATCATAGCAAAATTGTATGAAATACTATTACATGAATATCTTTTAGACTGGGCAAAACCACTCCAAGACCAGTCAGGCACACATACATCAGAGCCCCATGTGGTATTGATGTTCCTGTGAATACACACACATAGGGTTTGGAGTGAAACTCTGAAATCCGTAACTGCATTGCCATTTGTGCTGTTCCATACTCAAGTGGGGAATACTTCACAGTTACTTTGACTTTTCCATTGGCTGGAATGATTCCTGTGATTAGAGGAGAAAAACAATAAGAGTCCATATAACATGAGCCCACTTAAGTGTACTGGAACTCATTCTGGGCTACTTTTTTTAAACAACTTGTTTGAATGGATGGCAGTAGGCATGGAAAATCTTTCTGGTCTCAAAGCATCTTCCAAAAACTATGTCTTGCTGCCAGATAATAGAAGTTATTTTGCAATAGCAGAGAGTTTTGACAGTAGGGCTATAATATTTCATACTGCTGTGAAAATGACTGCCTGTTTATATGTAGAAATTCTGCACCTGCATCTGCTAGTCTTAAGTCTTTGGCACTTTCTGCTTCCATGGGCAAAGCATTTATAAACATATTCCTCTCTGCTTTTCCAAGCTAGGGGACTCATCTGGATTTGATGCATTACCTGTCTCTGCTTGACCTTATTTCCTTACTACCTATTCCATTATTTTCTCAAACACTTTAACCACTATTCACATCCCTAAATATTCAGGGCCTTTCCCAACCTAAGTAATTCTATGATACTATGATTACTCTGAGCACAGTGGCTTTGAGTAGGAGCTAAAACTTTTTAGTGCTTTTCAGATAGCCTTCAGCCATAGTTTCAGGTTACCAAAATTTCTGACTTAAGTTTTACTAGTATGACTCTATTTCAGGGATATTCTTCTGGGAAAATAAGGGCTGCATGGACCATTTGGAACATCCCGTATTTTGTCAAAGCTGGGCATTACCTAAATAAACTCAGAGCCAAGATGGCTATTTGAAAATGACTGGCAGCATTTACCTGCAAAAGCTTTGCCTGAGAAAAAGGTTTTTTTCTGTACAGCACTGAATACACTGTCACAAGTAACTACACTTAATAAATACAGATTTAACATTTAGAATTTTAAAGAAGTCAATCTACCAAATGTCGGCTGGACAGTGAAGGCTCTGTGAGGTTGAATAATATCAATGTGGAATTCAAAATCTATGGGACAGCTGCACTGCAGTGGGATAACATACTCCTTACTGAAAAGAGAGAAAGGAAAAATTATGTTAATCAAAGTACAGGTGTTCATCAATTACAAGCTGGGAAATTGTATTATACACACCACGCACTAAATTACCTGCATTCAGGGGGGTGGGTTACTTATTAATGTGAAAATAATAATTACTCACTGTGCCAAAAGAGCAAAATAATTCAGATTTTTCATCCCACCAGGAAATAAGAGTTAAATCTTGATTTGAATGCCGGACATTACTTTCTCCTACCCATACAGAATTTGCTTCTATAAAAAATTTTTAAATTATTTTTTGGAAGTTATTTATGCCCATCCTCAAATTGTTACAGACTGTAATATCTAGCAAGTACATACAAAGCAAACTGGAGCAACAATGAGTACAGAACCAGAAATCAGCCTTTTCTCATGGCCCTCCTCATGAAAGACAGCAAGAAAAGAAAGTGTTGAAAACTCCAACACATCAGAATGACTGAACTTTAATCATTGTAGAAATAATGGTGCTGGGACCTAATTTTCAGGATAGCCCTTTATGTCTCATGCAGGTTGTGAGAGGAGTATTAGCACACATCTTTTCAACCTGTCTTGCTTTGCATGCAAGTGTTTTCACCGACCAAACTAAACACAAAAGCATTGGTGCACCACCATTCATCACCCTGCAAATCAAGATCCATTTACACAGGCTTATTTCTGTTTTTTATCAGTTCTCTGACTGAAATCCTACCCTGCTGATTAGCAAAGAATGCATGTTATACACAGTGTTCCTCTGGAAAACACATTTTAAAATGCCTAAAGAAATAAGCAAAAATAGCCAAGTTCTTTTTTCTCTGCCTCACTATGGCCTGTTCACAAAGAAGATGCAATGGCAGACCAGGAAGGCAATTGGTTTTAGGGGATAGTGCAGCTTGAACAGCAATCAAAGTGCCTTAAAAACAAGCCAAATATGCCACCTGTTGCCTGATGGGTCTGCTGTGCCTAAGGAGAATGGTGGGTGGTAGAATATTGATTTTATCCTACATTTATGGAAGTAAAAGGCACTTTTTTCACTGAGTTCCTGGCCTGTGAATTGAGCCCAAATTCTATTGAGTTCTGTAAAGTACCAGCTATATCAGAAAGCTTTCATTTTTAGAAACTTTTTAATAGTTTACTGCTGAAAAATACTGGTGAAAATTAAGGTTTGAAACCACAAGTTTTGTTTTCAGGAATTCTTCCAAAGTTCCTCAGGAGTATTTTCGGGCACCCCTGCTGTATTAAAAAAACCCCTCATTATTTAAAATTATATTTTATTCTTTTTCTAATATCTTCTCTGTATTCTGATAGATGCAAATTCTGTATACTCCAGCACTAAAATGGAGCAAATAACAGAATCACATCATGCCTAGAGGCCCCAGAATATCAGGAGTTATGTTCAGTTCTGTGAAAAACTCACAATGTTATGATTCACTGAAGTTCGACAGACTAAAGGGCATTAGAAAAACAAACAAACAAAAAGACATAAATGTTATTCTGCAATGCTTGGCTCATTTTCACTACAGAATTTTGCATGTTTCTTGTATGTGCCTTTCCTATTAATATTTCTGTGCTTCAGTAAAATTCATGAGTTACTATCAACACATAGACTAAGACAAAACCATCTGCTAACACTTTTACTTCCTAGAATTCACTCAAATCTTTACACTAACACAAATCACCATAACTACAACTAATGTAGCAAATATACTGCACAACTAGGCCCTAATAAACAGAATCTGCCTTCCCCTTTTCCCCTTCTCAGTTCCTATTAACAGCTATTACTGATTAGTTCAGGAGAACAGTCACTGTTGTATCCATGCAATAGACAAAGAAAAATGAAGTCTAGCTCATTAAATACTTTTAAATAATAGAAGCAAAAATAACCAGCCCCATCTTCATATACATTTAGCTTGCACAGCATTTATGTTATGGTGAATGTGCACCTGAAACTGTTCATATACAGAATTATTTTACAGTCCGGATGGTAACTGAGTTTCTTAAAGGCTTTCAACATTATGTTTTATGAATAGAGAAAAATTGGATTGGGCATGTCTTGCAAAATGCAGATAAATGTCTGTCTTTAACTCACCTCTGACCAATTGATACATCAGACAGATTTATAAATGATGGAAATTCTACAACATTCACAACAGGGTAAGCATGCATGGGAACAACGAAGGTATCATCTCCCTACAAACAAACAAGTGAAAATATTAATATCTTACAATAAGTAAATCATAGAATCATATAATGTTAAGGGTTGGAAGGAACCTTAAGGATCACCCAGTCCCAACACCCCCTGCCATTGGCAGGGACACCTTGCACTAGACCGGGCTGACCAAGGCCTCATCCAACCTGGCCTGGAACACCGCCAGGCTTGGGGCATCCCCATCCTCCTGGGCAGCTGTTCCAGTGTCTCATCACCCTCACAGTAAAGAATTTCTTCCTAATATCTAGCCTAAATTTCCTGTCTTTCAGTTTGTACCCATTACTCCTTGTTCTATCACTACACTTCCTGATGAAGAGTCCCTCTCCAGCTTCCTTGTAGTCCCTTTCAGATACTGGAAGGCTGCTATGAGGTCTCCATGCAACCTCCTCTTCCCCAGGCTGAATAGTCCCAACTTTCTCAGCCTGTTATGGAAATAAAAAGTTTCTCTAGTAGTTGGCCAGTAAGTGGGCATAAAACACCTTCAAAATTATCACTGTGTTGTACCTCAGAACATTAATATTCTACCTGCTTTCAGTATCTGTCTTTCCATATTTTATGCAACTTTCTAGAGCTCCTCCGAGCTGCTCAGCTAAGTCATTACATCAATGTGGCACAAAGACTGATCTACTGGCAAAGAACAGCAAAATAAATCATATAATCTTGCCTACTGCTCTGGGATGTTTACAGAGAAAAAATTGTAATGCTTTAAGTTAAATACTCCAATTACGACTCACTGGGAATAAATCTATGTGTCTATACCTTTATCATTAGCATCATACGTGTTTATAGATTAACTATACCTTTATCATTATCATCATACTTGTTTCATTCCATTACATCTCTGTGTTTGGATGAACCCTCACCTCACAGTGAATTCGGATGCAGTCATAGTAATATCTCCATTCATCAGGGCAAAAATCAACAGTAACCACAAGGGACAGACCAGGGACCAGCCGGTGCTAGAAAATGACCCAAAACAAGACAGAAGCCATGTAAAAGCTGCTTATATGGCACAAAACCTGTGCTGCTTGTAAAGAGCAGTGTGAAGACTTTCTGGCACTTACTGTTTTGTTGTATTTGATCTGAAAATATATCGTCTGGGGTGGTATTATGTTAAGGTTTACTGCTTTGGTAGAAATATTTATCAGCTTCTGCAGAACAAAAGAAAAGAAAAGCCACAAAACACTTTACAATATAAGAGGTCAGTTAAGAATGCCAGCTATGTTTTTGTAAAACGTTCCATAGCAAGAAGTAATAATTTTTACTTTAGTAGATATAATTCCAAATATGCTGCAAATTTAAAATGAAATTATGCAAAATGTACATCCTGCATTTTTATTATTTGGAAACAATTTTTACCCAAGGAGTCACAATTTTTAACCAAGGAGCTAGCTTTTCTAGAAAGATGCTACTATTGACTCAAATTCTGAAGCTGTTTTTCTTATGTGCAAAAGGAACAAATATTTTATTTGGAACAAACAATTTATTGATCACTTTTAGGGATATCTGAAACAACAAGAATTACATAACACTTCATGGTTCAGTTTTGGTGTATAATCAACAGACTTTTGGACAGTGACAGTTCAGCCTGCAAAGCCTCCTGGCATTTGTTTACTTTCATTACATTCAGAGAACCTAATCCAATATAACTACCAATCTCTGTCTCAATACCCTGAAAACATGAATAACAAAGGCACACAAAGGGAAAGCAGAGAGTAGGAAAGGAAATACCCAAACCATTCACAAGGAAAGGCAATCAAATCTATGCACAGAATTTCCTTTCTCAGAATAAATTGTACTTGGCAAAAGACCAGATGTGCTTTCAAAACTTTCCCACCAGTGAACATGTTTGCAGACACAGTGACAGTCCAAGGACATTTTGAAAGCAAGTCTCTGGTGGAGTTAAAGGCCAAATCCTTCATTGATGATGTGCAAGTCTCATACCACAAACAGACAAGGGAAACAGGGAGTATAAAGGAGGGTGATGCTTACAGCCTGCTACTCATCTCTTTAGTTACCGCAGGACCACTGAATTTAAGTGCTGCTTTTTAGAGCACTCCACAGGGCAAAGGCCTCATGACCACAAGGAATCAACTCAGATTCTGCAGTCCTTTTATGAGCCCCAAGGGGATCCCTGCTCCAGAGCTTACCAGCATCTGTTGGTGATGTTTTCCAACTTCATACCCTCCATAGTGCAATACAGCAGGCTCAGCCTGTACAACCCTGCTCCTCTGACGTTCTGAATAAACCTCTGTAGATCACAAAACAGGGAGAAAAAGAGACCAGAAACACACATGAGTGGGACTTACATTGAAGCAATATAGTTATGCTGTACTGATTTATTACCAAGGGAAAAAAAAAAGAAAAAAAGAAGAAGAAGAAAAAAAAGATATTATTTTCTCCTTTTAAGCAGACATGAATTTATAAATGGAAAGTTATGGCACCATCCACTACCCCAGCAGATCCGTGATCCTGCCACCAGTTCATCTCTTGACATCATGGTTTCAACAAGCCACCCAAAACTTTAGGGTCAGCCAGGATCATCACAACCACTAGTTCTTTCCTGACTACCCCTCCCATGATTTAGGCTCTCAGGAAGCTGCAATTTAAGCAACAGGATGGGAGTTGCAAAGAAAATAACAGCCAAGTGTGTCCTGGAATTGCTACAACGTTGGGAACAGTCAGAGAGCAGGAACTTACTTGATTCCAGCAGGTGATTGGGGACAGGTCTTTTTTCAGGTTCCTCCACGAGGCTGCTCAGTAGACTGGGTACTTTCTTCAAGGACCCCCGAGTGACTGTGATGTCTGGGGAGGCTGACTGAACCAGGTCCATGTTAGGAGAGAAACAGGCTCTCAATGGCACTAAAATTCCTCAGTGCCTGTGGTCAAATGAAAACAACATAACGATCAAAATATCTTCTTTCACACTGGTACTACCTGTTGCCTAAAACTGCCTAAAAACATTTAGGAGAGGGAGCTACTTTTTTTCCCTGCTGAAGTAGATTACTCTGTGTGTGCTAAATACAACGAGAGAAGGATTACAGAAAAGCTTGCTCCCACTGCAAGGCCCAGCACTTTGGGCATCTGTACTAAGGCTTGCTGGGGACATTTGCCTTTCAGGTCTGTGTACAACATCTCTGTTGTCCTTCATGTCCCCCAGCAGAGCAGAAGAGAGCAGGTTCTCTTAATTCCACTATCTGAACTGATTTCTGCAGACATGTTCTTTCAATCTCTCCTGGGTGTTTGAGTTGTTAACTTGCAGATGAATTTTTAATTTTTAAATATTAATATGAGGGATAAGAAATCTGGCATTTGAATATTTTGTTTGGATAGCATCATCTGGGTCATTTGTTCAGTGAAGATAACTGTAAACACAAAAAGCCATGGGCATTACAGGTCCTGTGTTAAGTATGCAGAGTTATCAGAACATAAACTTCTCTAATGACAAGTGCAAATTTTACATAATAAAGACACCAGGCATGAACCATCCACCAGAAATTATCTTCATAAATAGAGCACACAGAGCCCTTGGCTCTTTTAGGAACTGGAGAACTGCACGGAGACAAAGACACAATACTTTTGGAACAAATATTGAATTCAAAAGCCATGCTGGGATTTTCAGCCCTCAAGCAGGCAGCACTCAACAGTTCCAAAGCTGAATCATTACTCCACCTCCTCCATTACATTTTATGGTCTCATCTCTGGTATTTGTCTGATTTTCCAGTCTGCTTTAGATCTTTCAGGCACAACTTGAGAGGTGCTTCAAGCTCATAAAGTGCTGTTTTGATTTATGGTTTTGTACAGTATTAAATAATAAATAAGCAAGAAGCTTAAAATAATGTGCTACCAGGACCCTGGCCTTCATAATATTTTCCACTCAATAACACCAAGCACAAATTTTCCACTCACAACAGAAAACCTGTAAGAGGAGCTGCATTATTGTGCACAAGAGTAAATTTCTTCTGATGTAGCAAGACCAAACTCAGACAAAAAAAAACAATGCAAAAAAATTTCTAAACATAAGGATAAGGCTTACATTTTTTCCACTTGTGTTCTTCAACTTTAATTTACATCACCGCCACCCTCTTCCTCCTGGTCAGCATTCCGCATTAGGAATGCAAGGTTGGAAAAGGTGTAGGCAGACATAAGTCTCCCCAAAGGATTCTTGGTATCATTCCCTTTCAGTAATTTACAGTGATGATGCCATCATGGCTCACCAACTTCAATAACACACTTCGTGCTGCTCAAAGGGCTAATACAGGACAAATCCTTAAGGTCCTGGAATGTCGGAATACCTGATGTGTCTATGGAGACTTTGTGCGTTTGTGTGAAGCCACCAACAGAGCTGTGAAACCCTGGGAGCCCACGGCAAAACTCACCCCAAGCGCCCTCAGACCAGGTTGTCGCCCTTCTCCTTGTCTGCGCTCGGGCTTTCTAATCCCTTCTAGCGTCTCGGAACTCCTCGCACACCTCACCACACAGAAAGGTGAGGTGCAAAGCCATGGCACCTGAGGGAGGCTGGAAAAGGCATCGCTGTGCACAACCCGCACCTGCCGCGGCCACAGCCCCCAGCCCGACAGAGATCGGGCACAGCCCGGTGGCCCCTACCAGCCCTCCCGAGCCCCGCGGCCCGGCCCGGCCCGGCCCTCACGGCGGCCCCGCGGCGGTCGCTCGGCAACGGGGCAGCCGCGCTGGGCCGCACTATTCAGCGGCTGGGCAGGATCCCAACAGCGGCATTCCGGATCCTCTGACGATGAAAAGTACAAAAAAAGAGTAAAAAACACCCCCAAATTTTTTTTTTTTTTCTTCTCCCCAGTAAGCGTCATTTTCAGTATTCCCAGTGTGGCCTCAGACAGAGTACAGGCACTACTTTCCCTTCAAAAACTCCCATCTATTAACACCTAAATTGTTCTTACTTGGTTTAAAACAGATTTTGAAAGGTTTATTACAATATTTTTTTTTTTTTTAAAAAACCAAACAACCCTCTTTTTCTCTTTCCCTCCCCTCACCTTTCCCCACTTTGATGTTCTTGCTTTCATCATTAAAGGACCATCCCTTGGAAAGTACTCCTGGAAACCTTTGTTCAGTGTATTTTTATATCACCCATAAATTATGAGGATTTTTTCCTAAATGGGTACAAGAGAAAGCAAAGAAAGCAAAGTTTTCTTCCTTTTTTTTTTTTTTTTTTTCCTTCAGACAGGCGATCTGGACTAAGAATAAAATAATTTACTTTCAGTTTTTCTAACACAGGGTAAAATGTGTCCAAAAACAGTGCAACATTCATTTTGGATAAAAATGTAAGCAAGAAAAGCTTCAGATAAAATTCAGATCCCAGAACATAGTTCCCATACTTAGCAAGATGTAATTGCATATGGTTAGAAAAAGCTATTCCTATACCCTTGACATGATGTCTTAAATATAGGCTTAACATAGAAAGCCAGAATTATTTCCACAATGAGTTTTTCCTTACATATTCTAAGAATAAAATTGTTCACTTTCGGTTTTTCTAACACAGAGGTAAAATAGAGCATATTTCTCCTCACAATTCACATGTACATCAGTTTATTTGGACAGTGAGAGCTGAGTACAAACCAAAAAACCATGTCTGCTTGCACATCAGAGGGTCTAAACATGATGAACCTCTGGAGAAGCACTCTGTAAAGTTTCCTGGGAACAGCAAATGAGTGGAAAAGGTAGGTGAAAAGAGTGGCTTATCAGCCAACAAACCTTCAGATTTCCTTGGGAAAGTTGATATAAATAAAAAATGTTAACCAGAGTTTAAATAGATGATTCTTGCCTCATTTTTATCTCTATTCCAAATGTCATTTGAAAAATGTTTGCACTGATTGCCAAGCTGTAGTAAAGTCATTGCAAACAATTTAATTATTTAGCAAAGGGAGGAGAAAATTTAGTTGTTTCAAGCACTAATGGAATTTTTAAGTATTAATAAATAAATATTTACAATTGAAGTTTGTTAGTGTTTGATAAGTAAACAATCCTACAATCAGAGTAGTACAAAGAAATTTCTTCTATTTACTCCTAAAGTTAAAGTGAAAAGTCTTTTGAAATGGTGTGAACAAGTTCAGATATTTCTTTCCTGTTTTAGATATCAGACTTGAAAGAAATTCCAGCTGTGACAAATTTATGAGGGCTATACATAGTAGGTATAAAAGCAAATGCACACAGCTATTGCTTAATTAAACAAACATATAATTTGGGGCTCTGTGAATTCTTGGTAATAGTTCTTTGTGTTCTGCTGCTGCTGTTAGGTTTCCCAGCTTTCCCTGTCTGTCCCACTGGGCTGACATCTGCTGTGAGTAAAACAATGGTTTGCACAGGTGAGAATCTCCCAGGTTTTATTTTTCATCCATCTTTCAAACACTCATCCTGCACATGAATAAAGTGGGAGGATCACAAAATATTAATTCACACCGTTGGCGTTTAAATCCAGCATTGACTCTCCAGACTCCTGGGCCTATTTTGGAAAAAGCACCACACTCCAAAGTACATTCAGAAGCAAAGCTCTCTCAATTACATAAATGCAAGAAAGAGTGCTGGCTTTCAGGGGAAGATGCTGCAATATGAATGGAATAATAAAATACTCCTTCAGCCAAAGGAAGAGAGAGAAGGACTTGGCGCCCCACCGAGATGATGCAGCGTTGTCAGTGTGGTTTCTTCAGACTACTACAGCGACCATTGTCTGTCTGCCTCTCAGACCCCCTCTCAACAGTTTGTTTAACCCTTTGATATTTTCAACCAAACTCTGTGGGGAAGCAGATGTCTTCAAGAAATGAAAATCACTACAAGTTTAGTGTGGGCTGGGGCAAGGAAGACTGAAGCATTTGCCATTTGAGGGGGAAAGGATGCTGTGTGAGTGTGCTGGATGAGCAGGACAGAGCCAGTGTGGGGTTAAGCAAATGCTGCCGTTTGCCTGACTGCTGCTCTGGGAATGTGGGGAGAGATGAGGGTGGTGTGCAGGGAAAGTGGGAGCGTTGCAACTCAGTGATCTTCATGAAGCACATCTAGAGATGAGCTGGAGTCAGGATAGGCATGGAATGGGCAGCACTTGCTAGGCAACCCAAATTCCTTCATTGTGCTGCTCAGTGGATAACTTGTTTTATCCAATTGCAGGATTTGCAGTGCACAGGCAATTAGCCATATATTTTTCCTAGTCATTGACTTTACCAGTAAACCTGGAGCTCATCTGTGTTCTGGGCAGCCCTTCATTGAATTTGACCTGTCTGGTGATGAAAAATTGGAATAGGTGGTAAAAGATGTTTTGAGACAAGCTGAGGACTGCCGTGCTTTGAGAAAGAGCACTGGTACACAGAGCAAACTTTGGCTCTTTTTTGAAGCTGTATTCAGCTTGTGCTAGAGGTGAATGTAACCATCAAGGGCTTGGAGTGCTTGCCTTGGTATCTGGGAGTTCATACCCAGCTAAGCACACAGCCCCTTTACAATAGTTTTGCCAGAGAAAAAAAGCCAGGAACAATAAAGAGTGCTCTGCTGACAGGCAAGGGGACTGCCAAGGAACTATCTTTGGGAAATCCCAGATTTCTGAAATCTACATCCCAGCAACAAGCTCATACCCAGCTAAGCACACAGCCCCCTTTACAATAGTTTTGCCACAGAAACAAAACCAGGAACAACAGAGTTGTTGTCCTGCTGACAGGCGAGGGGACTGCCAAGGAACTATCTTTGGGAAATCCCAGATGTCTGAAATCTACATCCCAGCAACAAGGTACCAGTGGGATCCAAATGCAATGACACCTTGCAGCCTATAGCATTTGGATGAAATGCAGACTGGCTGTTTCTTCAGATGCTGGATAAGAGGCTGAAATCTAGGGAGTATTTGGAGTCCTCTCTGGAAGGGAAGAGCAGATTCCCTGTTTATCCCAGACTAGAATTTATCTTTGGCTCTGGCAGCTGTGCTCAGCTGGGCTTGGTGGGACAAGCAGGCAGCTGCCTCACCTGCAGCAGGCAGTGCCAGCTTCCTGATTTCTGCCTCTCAGGGATGTGTGCTCCCTGTGGGAAGCATGTGCAGAGCTATCAAGAGCGAAGCAGTGCAGGCAGCCTGAAGCACATTCCTCCAACTCAGTTTCTCAGCAGAGCACTTATTCCAGGGCTCTACTTCCCCTTGATTGTTTGCTCCTGCCATTGTGGAGCTGACATCTTACAGGGGAGTCCTGCTTGGTCCCTTATTGTGGGAGCATGAGGAATGATCATTGCCCAGCGACACCCATCGATAACAGTGAATAATAGCCAGGAAGGGAGGCAGACAACAGTAGGAACATGCTCAAGAGAGGGGCTGTAATTCTTGGGACAGGGCGCTTCTGCAGAGGAGGAGGAGAGTTGCAGGGTGGACGAGGGGGGAGGGGGGTCCTGTCACTGTTGATGCTCTCTAGAGCTCAGCAGCTGGAGAGAAACATTGGCTAAGGATGGTCAAAGCTGGGAAGGGAAAAAGGCAAGGAGGGAAAGGATGAAGTGAAAAGAGCTAGGAGCCACGCTGGAGAGCATACAAACAGCCGGCTGACCTGTGATGCATGAGGGATGAAGAAAACAGACTGTGATTGACTATGTGGACCATCTGGGTGATCTTCTGGATTTCAACTGTCCCGGTAGGTGCTCAGATCTATTTATTCCCATTTACATGGAATCACATATTATCTGAGTAATGCTGAACACCTCTATTCCATGAAGTTGTGGTGTCTCTGTTTAAAAATGTCTGTGTAGAACCTGGATTTTTTTAGTTTTCTTCTTGCTTCTGCTGCTTCCTTCACTAATTGACAGTGGCCAGATGACTAGATGCTGGATGCCTCAGTTTCCCCATCTTTATAAAGACAGAAGTGTTACTAAGGCACTTTGACAAACACAGCAGGTGCTGTGATGAAGAAGAAAAGATTTAACTCAATTCAGAGAAGCTTTACTGATTTACACCAGCAATCAATCTCTTAAGGGGCAATGCCCACGTATAACAGTGCCTCCCTGGACTCAGATTGAAGGAATGTGAAGCAATGTTTATGCCACAAGGTTGTCTTATTTTTTTTGGCTTTAAAACTTCACCGAGATTTATGTGGGAGATTGTCATTGCTGACTTCCAGGTGCTTGGATCAGTCAGAAAGGAGAGTGGAACCTGGGCTGTGATTTTTTTAGCTTTAAAACTTTACTGAGATTTATGTGGGAGATTCCAGGTGCTTGGATCAGTCAGAAAGGAGAGTGGAACCTGGGCTGTGATCTCCAGGTGCTGCTCAGGTTATTCAGATTTTGAATGCATATAAAACAAGGGGTGAAATGTGTCTAGCTTGGGTGTGAGAAGTTAGGAAAGGATCAAATCACTGTTTCATTGCAACAAATGGAAAAATCAAGTTATTTCTCCCAGTTGGGAATTTTGCTCCAGCTGTGAGAAAACCTGAGCTCTGCCTAGACATTTTAATTGCAGAGTGAATGCAATCTTCAAACCTTTTGCCTTTTGATCATCTTCTGCAATAAAAAAATGTGACTGTGATGGTTTTCTTGTAATTTTGGTTTTTTATTCTTAGTACTACCTAAAGGACTCTGTAAATAGATGTCATTGCTCAGGGTGTCCCCAAGAGCACCTATTTCTATTGGTTCTTCTAATCTTTCAAAATACCTGTCTTGATTTTGCCAGGCATCTTTTGCTCCTTAAATCCTCTCATTACCCTAAATTCACTTATTTTAAAATGAAATGGTGGTGAATTCTGGATAATGTTTAAATCCACTCATTTCACACTTTAAAAACTGTGTTGGCTGTTGCTATCAATATTGCAGCCTTTTGCCCATTCTGGAGATCTATTTATAACAGTTATCTCTGTTTGGAATGGGATTGGTATCTCGTCTTTAAACAAAATATGAGGATGTCTTTCTCTCTGTCCTGGATTCAGTTGGGATAGAGTTAATTTTTTTTTAGTAGCTGGTGAAGTGTCAAGGAGATCACAACTGTTTCAGGGAACTGTTTATGAAGAGACATAGAAACAGCACGTAGAGGAACCCCTTTTGCTCCTCGTTCTCAAGCAGCAGGGGCGGGCTGTTTGCTCCCACTTGTGGATGGTAAACACGAGTGAGACTGAGCACAGCTGGTGCCAGAGTGGGGTTATCCGGCTGCGCCATGGGAAGCGGATTTCGCATCGCTCCGCAAACATCCCAGCGCTCACAGCCAGCCCGCTCCCTCGCATGCCTGTGTTGGCACAGACTGGCTCAGGGACAGGGTTGGTGGCAAACAAGGTCTTTATACCCACACCTGGAAACTTTCTGCTGTATCTGGGCATAAAGTCCTGTTAGCTGCACATCTGTTCCCAGGAAGTGGAATCTACCTGATTAGCAGAATAGGGTGGACATCACTTTGTGGGGTAAAACAGTAATTGTAAGGCAATTTAGTGTAAGAAAGTAATGCTGTGTCAGATCATCAGGGTGATCTTCACAAGTGGGTGTGCTAAAAGTGTGTGGCCTCACTCCAGACATAAAGAAATAACACAGAATTTAAATTTTTGTAAAACAAAAACTTTCTTAGGATCCACATTTCTTAAAGGAAAACAGTGCCCACACAATATAGAGGCTTTTTTAAGAGGGAATATTCCCCTCTTTCTGAGATCATTGTTAACATGTTTCCTAGCATTTATTTTTATGTATCTTAACAACTCAGACTGGTTATTTTGGCCATTTCAAATGCTCAGCATCCAAATCCTGGCATCAGAAGAGAGTTTCTTTCATATTAAGTCTTTGCATGTGTGATTCCAGAAAATTTATTACATTGTGCAAAACCAGGTGATTTCTAGTTCATTTATTTAATGACACATTAAATAGTGTTCATTTATTTAAAGACAAGGGAGAAGGATACTGAAGTTAAACACAAGTTTACACACCAGACCAATTAGATGAGGTATGATACACTGCTGAAAAGATCAAACTTTGTTCAGAAATATAATACTCAAAAAATTTCCAGCCAAAATAGTGGGAATATGGTCTCTAATGTCTGGTATGCTAAAATTTAATTGTAGAGAAGTAATAGTTCTCATTACAAGGTTTTCAGGGATTGTTCTTTCTCCCAAATCTAATCTGAAAGTGATCAGCAATCCTACAAGATTTATTAGGTTGAGCAGTAATGTGATGCTGCTGGGTTAGCTTTCTTGAAAAAGAATGTAAACAAATTTTATCTGATATTTTTCAACTAATAGAGCCTGATGAATGGCTTCTAATCTCTTCATTATGTGTGTACATACATATGCATTTTTATATATGTACATAAAAGTTCCATGGTGAGAATTTATAGAGATTTTGTGTTTATCCATTAGAGAGAAATTATCTAATTCATTATAATGGACATCCACTATATTCAAGTTTCTTATGTCAAAAATAATAGACACTGGTAAAAATAACTTTTACCCTGCAAAGGGTAAAAATACTTGTTTTTTCTGAACAACATAACTGTTAAGACCTTGTCCTGAAAATAATTTTGTAATTATTTTCAATATTTGTCATTTTAATGGTCTGTAACTGTTTGGTTTTTTTACTGATTTTGGCCCAGCTGCATAAAACATAAACACACATTGAATTGCTACATCGGGATTGAGTGAACATTAACATTTCCACATGGTTTTATGAGAAAGCTGGCTGGGAAGATGAGAAAATGACCTTAGGACAAATTGACATCTAGGGTCTCACGAAAATCTGGGTGAGATTCTGCTTTCAGGTGGGCTCCTGCAGCTACCAGATGGTAGCAGGGAAACGGGGTTGGGTGGTCTGCAACCAGTGGGCATATTTGGATCACTTGTGCCAGGTGTATGATTTAACACAGCCATGGGTGAGTGGCTGATTCTCTGTTACTCTAGGAGACTCCAGCAGTGTCCTGGATGTTTCTGCAGTCTTTTGGAAGAGCATCCTGTTCATGTACTTAATTTAGCAGAATAACACATTTTTCTCAATGTCAGTAATGTCAGCAAAAGGGAGAAGACATAAACTCAGTCTGTGCTTGCCTGCTGCTACTACAAAAATGCAGACTTAACTGGGAAAATTGTCTGTATTTCAAGGAAATATTGCCCACAATCAAGTGATAGATCTACATGGGTTATATGAGCATAAAAAGGATAGATTCTGTTGAGATTTTATAAGTTTTAAGAGGAAAAGTGATTCCAGTGCTTTTAAAATTTGTAGATCAAAGCCATTCCACCTGTCTGTGACCTTCTGAGTGTCCTGAAAAGGGAGGAAGAAAAGTGTGTGGAGACTCTGTCCCTGGAGGCAAGGAACAGAACGACTGAAAATGATCTGCTCCTGAGCTCAGGTAAAGGCTGAATGAATGCACATGATAAAACTGCTCTCACATGAACTGAGTGCCTCAAACTCAGACACCCCAACATCCCTTCCCACAGGAGGTATGCACTTAGAATACATCTCTCCTTTAGGAGCAGAAAAACAGGTAAGATCTGTTTCAAGTCTTTGAGAGTGGGATTTTGACCTTACAGTGACAGGAAGAGTTGTGGAAACCTTCTAACCCAGTTGCTTGACTGCAATCCTCACAACTTCGGAACACACCAGCAAGAAAATCTTGCAAATTGCAATAATGTCTTCTTGGAAAAGGATAATTTAAAAATTCACCCCAGCAACTGCAAATTTACTTAATTATATTTACCTTAAAAATCAATGAAGACCAGCAGCCAACATTTAAATCACGTGGCTTGAAGGTTCTCATTGCTTCATCCTTGTTCCAAGTTACTGTCACCTCACAGAGTTCTTGAATTTCAGCGAGGATTTATCATCATACAAAGGAGCTTTTTGGCCTGGGAAAGTTGTGGTACTGAGTCCTCATCATGTAGACAGCTTTGCTTTCACAGCTGAGCAGCTGGGGTCACGTGCAAGAGATTATTAAACCTTGCCTGTGAACTGTGTGTCATTTCCCCCAGGCAGCTGCTGGATCAGCATCTCAGAGAGAACATTGGGTGTAGGCAGCACATGTGACTATTTTTAGTGTGTGACCAGCCATCACCACTAAGGATGGGGTTGTGTCACTCACAGCATCTCACAGACTGAACTGATTCCGGGTGACTTTTGTGCACTGTAACATGGGCAAGGTTCTTACCAGCATGAGAAGGGAAGGAGCTCCCACAGATGTGCTGTGTGCAGGCTATCCTGGCCACAGATAGGCTACCATGTGGAGCTGGAGTCAAGGTGTTTGCTTAGTTTCAAAGCCTTCCTCTCTAACAGAGAGTGTTGACGGCACAGAACACTCACTATGACCTGGACCAAGGACAGAACTCAGAGGGAAGTTCTATTTCCTGGTTTCTTAGGATGCCTTGCATTTTTCTCTGTTACTGTTTTATCCCTGTCCTTTGCAGACTGATGGGTGTGATCACAGCTTCAGGGCAGTACAGCCACATGGCAGTGACAGGATACCTTATGGCAGGCTTCCAGGTGCTCCACAAGGCAGATCTGTCTCATTGCATATAAGAAGTTTGATTATATTAATAAATCAATATCGTTTATTTCCGTCAGTGAAGAGCAGGGTGGTTTGTCAGCCTATTTCTTTTTCTGCTTTGATCCTGTGATATGTCTCTAATGTTCAGCTCTGTGTTTCCTTGGCACCAGAGCTCCACAGCAGATGCAGACAAGTAAAACTCCACAGGACTGTGCAGGTGTGGACCTGCACTAGCATTAGCAGGCAGTACCAGTACAGATGGTCTTGCTTTATCTCAGTCAAATAGTATAGCTTCTCAGCAGAGAAGCTATACTAATTAACACAATTTTAAACTGGATCCACATCTTAAAATTCACCCAAGGCCTTTCATTATTGGAATTTTTTAATGGGGTAGTTCTACCTAAAATTCTACCAAAATCTAAGAGGGGTTTTTTACCTTGGTAAATTAGGGAGTAATGCTTCTATTCTGGGAAATAACACACCTGAAAATACCTCCAGCATTTAAGGTCTGCATGCCTGAAGTCCATGTGGAGAAAACCCCATACAAGGATTTCAGTTTGAAGAAGAGAGAAGCAAAGCTGAGGAATTCAGTGCATACCCTTGGTGGGTCATGCAGGGAGAAATAAAGGCGGCTTCGCAGGGTGTGGGGCACCTTCCACATCTCATCCTTCCTGCCCCTGCCCCAGAAGCTTTGACTGGCACAGGCAGGAAAAAGGACAAAGCAGGGAACAAGATCCCACCATGCCATCCCTCTGCAGTGCTCACATCTTGTGAAGATGGCACAAACAAAGGAATTCATTGCTGGGGAATCAGGCATCAAGTACCTGAGTAGTTGAGTGTTTCTTATCCTGCAGCAGTAAAAAGGAAAAGGGACTCTGCCCTTATGATAACATTAGCTTGGGAAAGGGAGCAGTGTAATATTAACACAACCCAAGTCACAGTTATGCTCTTTTTAGTGCATGAGTGAAGACAAGGAAATTCTCTCAGGAGCAAGGAGCAGGGCAGGGAAGCTACTGGAGACCTGGAACCCCTGATCATGGTGACACCGTGTATTGCTGCTGGGAGAAAGCTCTGAGGGAGATCCCAAAGAGCACAGGGCTGTGTGAGGGAGATGTTGCTGTGCTTTGTCTCCACCCTGAGGCTCTTTCTCTAGCTGGGGGTGGGAGACATGGATATTTAGCCATGAGGAGTGACAAGAAGCCCACCTGCAGGAGAAATAGCTCGGCTGGTTTTTGTTTTCTCTTTGTTTCTCTTTCACCCAACATCATAATTTTGTCAGGTTTTTCTGTGCATTGTGTCTGATTTTGGGGTTTTTTGCCTGTGGTGTTGGTATGACCGTTCGATAAACCAAACAATGCAGCGTGTTAAGTCATAAATATCACCCAAGGTGAAGTTTTGCTTGCCTTTAAACTGTTGCTTTGAAGTAAATCCTTTCCAAGACTTATAAACATTGGCACAGGGAGGACACCAGGGCTGAGGTGCCACCCTGGCTGCGAACAGCTCTGCATTTTCAGGCACTGGGCCTGTCGCACAGAAGGAAATCAATACATTTCTAGAAATGTAAACATTTTTGTCAGGCTAGTGGAGGTTGGCCTTACAAAGCATGAAGTGTTTGAGGAGAGTGCTTGGTCAGCACTTCCTCCCCTCAGCTTTCAGGGAGCATGCAGGGCACACGTCCGGATACAGCAGGCACAGGGGAGTCCCTGACCCACCCCAGTGGCCTTTTTCCCTCCTGTTTTGTTGCAGAAACCTCAAAGAAGGCTGTGCTAAAACCACTGGCAGGGAGTGGAGGCAAAAGGGAATGAATCTGGATTATTTCAGCCTGTATCTGGAGAAGAGCAAAATAAGAAATGGTAGGATTGCAGTTTCTCTTTGGTACAAAGAGCATCAAATGGAGGTCTTCTCCATTAACACTCTGCACCTCAGGCCACAATCAATCCATGCCAGCATCCAGCACCTAAGCAACGTGTCTAAGTAAAGATCACCTTCATACTCTGCTCCACTGGCCACCAGATGAGCTCCCTGATGCACCTCCACCAGCCCTGCCTGAAGGCAAAACAGTCAAGGGTGCAGCTGGAAAAGTCTCCCTGACTGTGAGAGGGGACCATGACAAGCCCATCCTTAAACTAAGGAGCCCTTGCACCTAACTGAAATGGGGTGAATCTGAGCAGCCAAGCTCAGTGAGTGATCTGCTGGCATTTTTCAGTTCACTGCAGCCTGAGCACAGTGAAAGAGAGGCGTGTTTATGGTGATAAAAGGAAGACATTGCTGCTGTTCCTCTCTATCCCTTCCCCAGTATGACTAGATTAGTTCAGCTGGTTAGAATATAGTGCTGATAATGTCTGTGTTGTGGGTGTGATCCCCAAATAGGCCATTCCCTTAAGAGTTGTACTCTCTTTGTGGGTCCCTTACAACTCAAAATAGTCTGTGATTTAAGTGATCTGTGGTTTAAGTATCATCCTGAAGTTTTTTAAACTCCTAGTCACAGAATCACAAAATGGGTGAGGCTGGAAGGGACCAATGGATCAACTGGTCAAACCTCCCTGCTCGAGCAGGGTCATCTAGTTGCATTTTTTCATATTTACAAAAATATTATGTAAGAAAAACATTAGGATGACTCAAAGTGAAAGCTTTAGAAAGACTGAAAATAAGTTTAAAAATTCCCATCTGATTTCCTTCATCTTTCCAGGGCCATTCAGTAGTTACCAGCAAACAGGTAGCAAAAGGCCTGATGTGAAGTTCAGAATTATTCTAATTGTGCTTTGTGTGCCTAGTAGAGACCAGTGGGATCAATGGCAAGAAAGGGACATGTCTGGGAGCTTGCTGAGGCTGGTTTGAAGCAATCAGGACCTGCTCTGTCCTACCCAGGTCTCAGCAGACTTGCCCTGTCTCATCCAGTTTGCTTTTCAGAGCACTGAGCATCTTTGTTCCTGTAGCTGCCTTGGTCCGTGGGAGATGTTGGATGGTGTTAGTGCTGCTTGGAGATATCTCCCAGTGTTTCATTGTTGGAAGAAGTTTCATGGTGTTATGTCACTGGGAGATGCTGTATGGTATTTCCTTGTTGCCCCCCCAGGCAGATGTGCTGGAATGTGGGACAACATGAGCTGCTGGCCTTCATCCACTGTGGGACAGACTGTCAATGCTCACTGCCCTGAATTCTTTCAGATGCTGACTGGGAAAAAAGGTAATGTTAAAATGATGCTTTTCTCACCCTGGTATTTTTTTAAGCACTTATTTATTAAACACTTTATTTTTTATTTCTTTACAAAGATGCCACACTCAGGTCTGAACTTGAAATGAATATTTTTCCCTCCTTCTTTTAAAGAACAATAGTTACTTAGCAGATCTGTTTCCACCTCTAAGCTGAACATGGAAAAGACTGGAATTAAAGTAGCAAGATCTTTAAAGTGTTTGTATTTTCTAGTCAGATGGAAAAAAGTGCAGGAATTAAATGCTATCCTGAAAAGCAGGCTTTTAGCATGGTTTCTCAAGGAAAAGGGTTTTCTCCACTCAGGTTCTGTGTTTATTTCTGTCTTTCCCTTTTAATATCTCCTAGCGCTAGTGGCTGGTCCCAGAGGAGCTTGATGGGGACAAAACTTCACACAGCATTAGGTTCACACGAGATTTGGCAAAACATCCAGCTAGGCAGGCAGAGAAGATCCCCTTTTTGCCTTCATTAAGAGGAAGTCTGCTCTGGGGATTTCTCTCTTGTCTGTGACAGGATCCATACAAGTGACACAATCCCATGGAAATTCAGGTTTCATGGCTCACCAAACAATTCACTCAAAGAGAGGTGAGCTCAAGCAATGGTTTTTGTCCTTTTTTTCTGGGATATCTAAGCTAGAAATGAAGTGAAATTTACTCCCAGTAGACTACAGTAATCATGAGCTATTAAGTAAGCCTGCTTTCTGTTCATTTCTGCTTTTCAGTAATGCCTAAGAAATGTGTTTACGTTTCTCTTTAGGGAGTTAATGATTCAAATGAGAAGAGGGTTTTGCATTCTTCAGTTATAGGGCACAGATTAATGAGGTCCAGTACTTACAGAAAAGCAGACAGATTCATTTTATGAAGGGAGGAACAGGAGACAAAGTATTAGATTGTCTAATAAAGATTACATAACTCAAAGGAGAAGCACTTAGTGCTCTTTAAATGAAATCAGACATGAGCCACTCAGATTAAAATAAAAACCTTGCTACTTTCTGTACACACGAACATTATCTGCCCTTTGAGCCCTTTAAGCTGGTTTAAAGCCAAAGGATAAACTACACAAAAGCTGAGATCGCTGAAGAAACCATGCGTCTGGCATCTACTTTAGCACAGTGATCCCGGCCCTCAAGTGCAGGAACTGAAATCCCTGCTGGTCCAGCCACTAGAGGGAACTGCTCCCTGCCTCTGGCCTTCTCACCGGGGAGGAAAGCAGGAATTTGTACATCCAAAGGTCATAATTACATCTGAGATGTTCACGCTCTTATCTTGGAGGTAGTCAGCTTAAACTTTAGTTGCCCTCCTTATCCAGAAGCTGATAAACAGTAATCAGAGTGACAGTGTACAAAACAGAACCCCAAGACCTGGTCCATCATCATTAGCATCTTATTTCAGTCTCTGCTTCTGGCATTTTGGGTCAAAGTCAGCAATAGTTTAGCCTCATTCTCATGGCCACCTTCTTTGGTTTTATACTGTGGTTGGCTTGTTACTCCAGAGTTTATTTACTGCTACAGTCTTTGCCCTGTTTGAAACAATTTTGAAAAAGAAAAACAAAGATGTGCTTGCTTCAAAAGAAAAGCAAAGGTTTTCTCTCCTCACCACTCACAAAGCAGATGGGCAGCCACAAATGCCAAAGGCACATTTGTTAAGCCTTGTGGATAGCTCTGAGCTCTGCCCAAACCCTGGTCTCTGCTCACTTCTAGACTTGCATTTGCAGCCCAGACTGTCTGGTCCCTTTCAACATAGCAGACCAAAGAAACAAAATTATCTGGAACCAAGTAACAGAACTGAGCACGGTGCCTTAGGCAAGGAATGAAGAAAGGTGTGACAATCCTGAGGATTCAGAGGCAAAGGCCACATCAGGTGGCTCCAGTGCCACAGCCATCCCTTTAGTCAGAGTTCCTTCTTGCCTAGGCAGTTCCAAAGCACCAGTAAACACCAAGCCAAATCCTTAGACTGCAGACTCCCACTCTGCTCTGAGTGGGGCATGCTGCAGTTCCCCCAGCCTGTGTCACCCACAGCTCAGAAGCATTGTTAAAATTTTCCTTGTGCCCATCCATATGATGTGCCTGGCACAATCTCCTGTGCTTTGCATGTAATGCAATAGTATGTGCACACTAGCACAGAACTTCACCTCCTCTTGTCTGAGCTGCTTTGACAGCCTCGAGCACAAAACCGTCACAGGCATGTTTACAAGTACAGTGCTTTGCTCTAGGTTAAGTAAGTGTGTCTTAATAGCTGGCACTGAAGTAGAGAACCTGCCACCACACCACCCCCTTGCTGGGTGCCAAAAAAGGCTGGGGAGAACCTTTTGGGACAGCTGCTTCTTTCCTGTTGTTGCTGCACTGCAGCAAAACGTAAAAAAACTGGCTTATAAAGCAAGCCTGGCCCTTTCAAAGATACTAAGCTGGAACAAGATGTTCAAAAAAGCATCAGAATAATAGTGTGATAAGGACACACCCAGAGCTCTTTCCACTCAGGGTTCTAAGCCTGTTTGCTGTGCCTTGCAGGTTTACAGAGGTGAGTTCAAATCAAGTGCAGACATGCTGTCAGGTCACCAGCATTAGCCCAGAGGTAGCAGGAGCCCTGGCTCTGTCCTGACAATTCCAGCAGGGCTCCAAAGAGGATAAACCATCACCAAACACTGCTGGATATGCATCTCGCTCAGTGCCCTCAGCACTGCAGGGATGTTTTGCAAGAGCCAGACATCCTAAAGTCCTCACGGCTAAATGTGTGGGGGATAAATGGACTTTTATGGTGCCCTCTGGCAAGGCTTGTACTAGGAAAGACTGCTGGTTTCATGTCCCCTTTAAGTACCTGCTAGCATTGCCATCACTGCAACAAAACCAGGATTTCACTCCATGGTTCTGAAGTATGATTCTTACCAGGCAGATCAATGTGATTAGGACAGAGGGAAGTCGTTTAACTTCTTTGTACAAGTTTCTCTTCAGCACATAACAAACATGTCTGCTAGGGCCACTTTCTTCCAGTGACATTGTGAGTGGCTTTGGGCAGGACTTCCCACTTTCATTTTAGAGCCAAACATTAACGTGGACAAGTTCAAAACCACCCTATTCAGCCATGTGCAGCTTGCTGGGCATTCATCTCACTCAGCATTAGGAGTCTAAAAATCAGACATCCCAGCAGAAAAGGGTCAAACTGCCCTCTGCAGATACCAGTCTGAAAAATTAATTCTGCAAATGTATATTTTTCTCCAAAGACAGCCCCAAGGGACACAGTTGGACTCAAGTACTCAGCTTTCCAGAAGTTGAGCTTAAGTGAGGGGAATTTCTTCCTAACCTTTAATTTGCAAGTTAGCAAGGAAATCAACTGTGTAAAATAATGCCCAGTGTGGGAAAAAGACTTTTAGCATCAATTTAAATCTTACTGAAAATCTGTGACCATCTACAGTTTTGTGTTCTATTTGGAGCGTGACAAACCACAGTAAGGAGGTGGGAGCATTCAGCAGAGTATCAGGTTTGCATGGAGCTTGAATCTGTGCTGAACAAGTCCTGTGTTTGCTGATCTTGGAATAGTGGCCAAGAAACACCAGATGTACTGAGCAGTATTATTTATGTTGCAATTAATAAAAACACATCCATCACAGTCATCCCTGAGTGGGCAAACAACATTATGACCCACACAAGTACACTGGGCAAGTATCAACAGAATCAGCTCAGCTGCATTTTGCCCCCAGCTATGCAGAGTGCACTGCCTGGGGCAACACACTCTCCTGGCTCTTGGAGCAACCCTACATGGTGACTGAACCCTGAGGACAACCAAGATAAAACTGGAAATGGTCATGCCCCATTCTGTCTTTTTACCACACAGGTTTTGTGTACCGAAACTGTACAAGTGAGGGCTGGTCAGAGCCCTACCCGAGACCTGACATTGCTTGTGGCTACAATGTCAACGACACAACCAACGAGGCCAGGGTGAGTCTGAGTGCCCCTGACCACAGATCTGCTGCTCTGGGGCCCTGGGGAGAAACACTTTTAGGAGAGACTGATTGATGTTGTGATTTAACCCAGGTGGGGTTATTGCTACTGATGGTTTTCAGCATGAATACTTCCTGCAAGTGGTTGCTCAGGGTGAAATTTCAGTAGATGATTTTACAAGAAAATTTATTCATTAAATAGGAAGAGGAATCTTTCTTTTGGTGTGGGCTGATGTCTACCAGGCAGGCAAGGTAAAAGTGTGATTATATGTTCCCCTGCAGCGCTCCTATTTCATGACCCTGAAGACCATGTACACCATCGGATACTGCACCTCCCTTGTGACATTGATGATAGCCTTGGTGGTCCTGGCCTCCTTTAGGTGAGGAGAAGCATCTCGGGTTTGTGTTTGGTCAGGACTTCTGGTCATCTCAGCTGACACAAATCCTTCTATTGACTTTCTGGGCAAGCTAAAAATTTAAGTATATCTGGAAACCTTTACAGAAATCAGTGATAAAATTTATTTCTGAAATAAATTTTATCCTAGAAAATGTTAGGGCTGGTCATTATATTTTGCTCTCCTTTTCTTTCCAAATCACAGCTGGATGCATGTTGCAAATGGCATTTGCACCAACTCCCTGATGAGGTCTTCCCATGATTTCAGTGTCCCTTGGGCAGAGTGTCTTTCTCCCTGCTGCTCTTTTCCCCACTTGAGACTGTGGCTAAAACTTTGTTCTAAGTGTCACTGCACTGACTTGTGGTAAAGTTTCTATTAGCAATCTGACATGCAGCTTATCTTCACTCATCCCTGTAACCTGGAATTTGTACTGTGCTGCTTATTCAGTGAAATTAATTTCCCTTACAGTAAATGTCAGGGCGGCACCTCTGGGCAAAAGGAAATCCAACTACTTTGCAAATTTATATTCAGGCTGCACGGCCTCTGGACACAGACTATGTGAAGATTTAATACAGAAAACACTGCAGGCACAAGTGCACTGTGCTGGCAGAATAAATAAATTCATCCGGGTGTGAATAAACACCTTGGGTTCATGTTACTACAGAAAGGAGGGAGGGAGGGATGCTAGAACAAGCATATTGGCATGAAATCACAATTTTACTGGCAACATTCAGCTTGTTTTAGTACCTGAGTGGAGCAGATATGACTGTTGCTTTTTAAGGTCTTCTCTAGGATATCCCTCTTGGGAAATGCATCAGTCTTCCCTTCACAAACAGAACTACACTGTTCTTCATTTGTCCATTTATCACTACTAAGGATTGAAACCTGTTGTTTACAGCCACAGTTCCTTACATTGGTGAGAAATGTCAGTCACTTCACTGGATTTCTCTCTCTCTCTTTTGATTTTGCAGAAGGCTTCGCTGCACAAGGAACTACATCCACATGCATCTCTGAATGTCACTTCACTGGATTTCTCTTTCTCTCTCTCTTGTTTTTGCAGAAGGCTTCGCTGCACAAGGAACTACATCCACATGCATCTCTTCACATCGTTCATTTTGCGAGCCTCATCCAACTTCATCAAGGATGCTGTCTTGTTTTCCTCTGAGGACACAAATTACTGTGGGGCATACACGGTAACCCTCTGCCCATCAGCTTGCTCCACCCCTCAGCTTCCCAGCAGGATCCTAGCAGGATTTAGTGTACAGGGAAGGAAATCTCCATCTCAGATTTATGTTCATCATGGGGGGTTATGGGTTATGGGAGAAGAGAGGTATGCTCTGCCCCTTCTCTGAGAACACATTAAATATTGCTGATTTACACTGCAGTGTGAGACCTGATAATAAGATAAGGGCTTGCACTCAGACAGTCTGGGACCTCACAGATTTTGAAATGTTTTTTGCCCTTTTTTTTTATTGGCAGCAAACTATTTTGAAAATTTGGGTGTGAGGAGGGGTGAAGCAACACTGGAGATGATGCTTTAAACTAAAATATAAGAATTAGGGAGAGGAACAAAAATAGGCCTGTTTTGTTTCATCCCACTAGTTTTGCTGGATATTTGTTGCAGAAAAATAACATTTTGAGGACATTTTAGTTTGTCTTTATCAGCTGCTTTTCTTGGAAAAAAAAGGATTGACAATACATTCATATGCTTCCCTAAGGTAATATTTGTGTTACTCATACTAGGGAGGTAGTAATAGTGAAATTCCCCTGAGACAGTAACCTGAATCCAAGTGTCCATGACACATTCAGTTCTTCTAGTGAGGCAGTTGATTAATGCATTTAGGAGTGCCAGCTCTGCTTTCTTGTCATGTGAACCCCTGTCTCGAGGACACCCATTTAGTTCCCCTAATTGCTATAAAATCTCTATTTGCCAAGATTAATTTACGGCTCGCTTTCTCTGCTAGAAGGTAGGAACAAACCCAGGCAGGAGCTAATTATCCTCTCTTTCCTCAGGCTGGCTGCAAGCTCACCATGGTCTTCTTTCAGTATTGCATCATGTCTAACTACAGCTGGCTCCTCGTGGAAGGACTGTACCTCCACACTCTCCTGGTGATTTCCTTCTTCTCGGAAAGGAAGTTCCTCTGGTGGTTCATCGCCCTTGGATGGGGTACTGGCTCTCCCTTCAGTGAGGACAACTGGGTTTTTCTGCCTTTGGCAAGGACTTGTGCAGGAGTAACTGGTTTTTCCAATTGCAGGTGCCCCAATGGTGTTTGTGGCAGCATGGGCGACTGCTCGGCAACTCCATGAAAATATTGGGTAAGTCAAGCTGGCATGCCAGGGGGAGCATGCAGCCCCTGTGCAGGCTGTTCCATGGGGTCCTGCTCATTTCTAATTGCTGGGAGCAAGTAAATCAATCAACATCCTGCTGTGGTGGGAGCCTGAATCCTAGTGTGGGTGTGAGCAGAGGTACAGCTGAGCAACACCAGAAAAGGCTTCCAATTCCATTTGAGCATTTTCAAGGGTAGGAGGTAGCCTTCAGCTATGAATTCAGACCACATGTTTTCAATATCTGTATTTAACTTTCTGAACAGTGAAACTTTGTTTCTTTCTCTTCTCCCTTTCAAAGTTTTGAACTGTGTTTGTACTTAAGGGAAGGACTTGTCTCGATCCAGTGCAGGTGGGCAGTTTTCTGTCAGGCACATTGCACCACTCAGTGAGCACAGGAAATTAGTTTTGTAGAAAAGAGAATAGGGGCCTATCTAAGGTGCAAAACAGACTAAACCTGTTTGAAAAGATACCAATGTTTTGATAACTGACTGCACCTTCTATTTTTACAGGTGTTGGGACATTAACACTGATGCCAATACCTGGTGGATCATTAGAGGCCCCATAGTTGTGTCTATATTTGTAAGTCTTTTCTGGGACAAGCAGATTCAATCTGTATTTTCAAATACTGTGAAGTCACAGCTCATCTACTCAACATGCTTTAGAAGTGTGTTAATGAACTGATCTTAGGCATGTGTCTGAACTGGTGTGACCCATGAGTTACTGCTTAAGCAACTTCTGCTCAGCAGGACTTAGTCAGTAACTAATGCCCCAAAGCTAAGTTCACAAGGAAAGCTAGAGTGTTCTCCCAAGAAGCAAGAGCCTGAAGAAGATCAGGTTTCCACATCCTGTTGATTTCACATGAACTTGGCTGTTTTGTGGAAGCTTGTTTTGGACTGTTTCAAGGAAAGCTCCAGAGGAGAAATGAGTGGCTGTACATTTCAGTACAATTACTTTTGTGTCTGCTGGTCAATGCCTCTCTCAGCAAAGCCAAAACCAACTTGCCTTACATGACCACTGGCTTTTGTTTTCAGGAATAAAAACAGTTCACAGGCTGCATGCCCCTCATATTAGTGGACAACACTGAGGCACTGCTCAATGAATTAGGGCACAGGCATTGAAACTCAGTGTGAGCCTGCCCAGTGCAAGGCAGTAGTGATGACAAGAGCAGTTTGGTGTGTGTAATACTCAGCACCTGTGTTTTGAGCATTTGCTGGTACTCTCCTTCAGAGCCTGAGGTACCAGAGGGCTGGAGCTGCTGCTTGGGATAATTGTTCTGCCCAATGAAGATGCTCTGGGTCAGACCATGCTGCAATGACCTGTCTGAAACTCTAACCCAGAAATGTGAACTGCTGGTTATTCTCAAGTAACCTGCTGACACTCCAAACGAAACCCCAAGGGCTGGTTGAGGTTTTCACATTTCCAGTAATAACCATTTGGTTTGCAAAACACAAACTGCAACACTTGCACACTTCTCAGAAACCCAGGCAGCAGAGTTGGTGGGTTAAAGTTCTGCTCCCGTTGACCAGTGAGCAATCCTGCATCCCCACAAGACAACCAGCAAACCGCACAAGTGATTTGGGATCAGCTTACCGAGGTCATGGCATTTATTTTTCTTTATGAAACTACCCTCATGCTAGGAGCCACTCGGCAATATATAAAAGCCAACGAGACCCAGGCAAGACAAAAAGCACAATCTTAGTTAATCTTCTGGCGGCCCCCACCCTATCGCTTTCCAAGTGTCCTCAGAATGCTGATCCTGCCTTGTTTAGCTGCTGAAGGCAGAAGCCGCCTGCGTGACTCTGCAGGTTTTCCTCAAGGGAGGATTTACTCAAGCCCATAACCAAACAAACAGCCAGATCTTAAAACCCAGATCTAATCTCTGTATTCCTCACAGCCTTCAGCAGTTGAAAAGGCAGAAAATCAGCACCGATAAACACCTTTGTGCTCCCAGGCTCTCGCTCATTCCTGCGCTGCCCGCGGGCAATTCCTCCGGGCAGGAATCCCGCCGCTCCCCCTTCCCCTGTGGTTTTTATCAGTGAAAAGTCCTGCTCAGCCTACACGGCTCTTCCCTGGCCTAATGGGTTAAAAATCCCAGAATACCCAGGCATGAACCTCCTTTGCTCCCCACCACCCCTGAAGTATTTCTTGCCTTTATGCTCTAACTTCCCCCAGCTCTACTCCTTTCCTCCTCCCTCCCCAGCTTCCCCAAACTTCCAACCCTATCCAGACTCCCTCAGGGGTCACAGCTGCTCCCTTTCCACACGACAACTTTAAAGACTTGCTGTGTCTGTCCCATCTCCAGGAGACCCGGTTCTTTAGGGAGACCCAACACCCCCGAGCCCTGCTGCCATGTCCCCAGGCACGCTGGACCCACCATGAAGAGGATGCACCTCTGCCATGGTGTTTCCCGGCTCAGGGAAGGGTTAAGGGCAGGCTGCTGCAGGAGGGGTGCAGGGTGCTCCAAGAGGGGTGCAGGGTGCTCCCCACGGGGTGCAGGGTGCTGCAGGAAGGGTGCAGCTCTGCAGGCTGTGCAAGCCAAGGGCAGATCAGCCCGAGGTCGCTCCCCACGGGGTGCGAGGCGCTGGCCGCGGGACAGACAGACAGACACGCTCAGGCGGCTCTACCTCCCCTGCAACTCCTACTCTTTGCCTGAGGGTCAAAACAGCAGAAACAGCTATTGCCTCATCTGCACCCAAACTGAGCAGATCAGCATTTTTATCTGATACCCACCCTTCGAGAGGGGGAAAATGCAAAAGGAAGAACTCCAGAGTCGACTCTCTCCTCTCCCCACTTTTAACTACTTTGCCTCGTGATCCCAAACCACATGGAGTGTTTTTAGCAGGGAACAAAGAGCACTTGTAGTCCCCGTTAGCAAGTGATGGCTCCAGCGCTGCCCTTTTGCTGGCATCCAAAGTGGGGTCAGACTGTGCAGAGGCTGTCAGAGCCCCGCAGCCAGAGGGGACCAAACCGATGCTCCTGGCTTCCCTGCCCTTTGGTGATTTGCCTGCATGACAAGCTCTGAGCATATCCATAACTAAAGCTGCAGCAAACCAGCAGGGAAAGCAGCCAGCATCCAAGCCCAGGGTGGCCAAGCAGGCTGGAGAAGCAGGAACAGAGACTGGGATGGGAACATGGACACAGGCAGGCCAGCCCCAGCCCCTCTTTCTGCTCAGCCCAAACCCCCCAAAGTGGCTCTGCTGATTACTTTGGTTTTGTTTGTTTGTTTGTTTGTTTGTTTTCCAGATTAATTTCATTCTCTTTGTCAACATTTTAAGAATCCTGATGAGGAAGCTCAGCTCCCCTGAAAAACGGAGCAGTGATTTCAACCAATACAAGTATGTCCCTTACATCCCTTATGAGACATTCAAGGTCACCTGAGCATCTCTTGCTCCTTCTACACCAGCTTTTCTCTCTGTTTTCATTCTCAGGAGACTTGCAAAGTCAACACTCCTCCTCATCCCTCTCTTTGGGGTCCACTATATCATCTTTGCTTTTTTCCCTGAGGATGCAAGCAGTGGTACAATGGAAATTCAGCTGTTTTTTGAGTTGGCTCTTGGATCATTCCAGGTAATATTTGACAAGCTATTATTTCTTTAAAATAAGAAAAAGAGGTACAACATAGAACTCTGCAACAGACTTGAGTTTCCAATGGCAAAGCCAAGCTGTCTGATTTCCCTTGAGATGCCTCATCCCCATTCAAAAGCTGAAACTGCAATCCTGTGACCACGGTTCTTTTATCTTTTAGGGCTTTGTGGTGGCTGTACTTTATTGTTTTCTTAATGGTGAGGTGAGTTTCGTGTGTATAACGTTCTTTTTTATTGCTGAAGCATGCCTCGTTAATCAGTGGGACACATCCCCCAATGAATTACACCTTTTGTCTGAGGGTTTTCTTCCCAGCTACCTAACATCACTCTTGAAATCCCTCCTAGACCAGGCAAGCCTAGGTAATTGTATGCCAGATGCAAACTTCACCTCTCAACTACTGCAACCCTTTCATAGATCAGATAACATTATTACTGTCTGGGAGCCGAGGGTGGGAGCACCATCCCTCACACAGTCACACTGACAGCCCACTGTTCTGACGTATGACACCATTATCTGCCACCCCATCCATGGCTGCTTTATTTACTCAATCCTTAGGAGGGGATTTATCAAAAGCTATACCCAGTCCAAGTTTATTAGGATTCTTATAAGGTAAAGCTTTAGGTAGAGGGATCATTTCCTTTGTAGTTGCATGACAACTCCCAGGCTTCTGGGCTAGAACTTGCACTCTGAAATGCTGCTGCTGGTAGAGGTGGGGGGAAACATACAAACCTGGAAGATGTACAGCTAATTGGAAGGGGGAAAAAAAGCAAGCCAGTGCCTAAGAAAGAGTCACTTTGAAATAGAGGAGGATTTTGAAATACTCTGACTGATCTGTCAACAGGGTTCAGAAAAAACGGTTTTGAAAAGAAAATATTTTTTTTTACCTTAGAGTGCCAAAATGTCCTGGTTTTATGTCTAAAATTAAACCAAACCCTTCCTAAGGCCAGCTAGATTCCGTGAACAGTTTCACCTGCAATTAAATAGAAAGCTGTGTGGCTGCAACAACAGTATCACTAGAAGTGTCAAGAAACAGGCCCTACCTCAACCCCTTAAACTGGGGTTTAAGTAAATAAACCCAAACCCTGGCAAAGGTAACCCACTCTCATTTTCCTGTTACGCTGCTCTCTGCAGCGCAGGGTTCCAACATAAACTAGCTGAACTAAGTGTTTTGTGACCTCTCTGCCTAGGTTCAGCTGGAAGTTCAGAGGAAGTGGAGGCAGTGGCATTTAAGCAAGCACTGGCGACAGCATCTCAGCACCTCAGCCAGCAACGGGGGAAGCGGCTTGACTCAAGAGATGCAGATGGTGAGGTCCAGCCCCGCAGAGCACAGGAGAGGAACCCTCCAAAGGTCAAGTGTGCTCTAGCTGTGCACCCGAGGGTGCCTCCACGCCCAGACACACACGGCTGAGTCCCCTGCACTGAGCTGGGAGTCCTGTGTCCATGTCCAAACGGATCAGCGGTTCTTGGAGCACGTCTGTTCGTGTATATCCTGTGCAGCACCATGGTTGTTTTGCAAAGCAAAATGGGCCAAAATATTATGCCCTTCCTAGAGTTTCTGCCCACAGTAATTTGTGTTTCTTTCCACACCTGCTGCTAGTTCTACCTTAAATGTGGCCTTCCATTTCCCATGTGGCTCTCCAGCATGTTCCAGGCTAAGTCAGGCTGGTGCTTTTTTGTTCTTTATTTTTCTGCTGCAGAAGCTGGGAGGACACTGAAATTTATATGATGAAGGTTACATGCCATCTTCCATGGGTTTGAAATGTAAACTTAATTAATCCCTAGAATTTATCAAGGTTCAAAGCCTTTCTGTTGTGGATGAATGGGTGATGGACACTGAGAACATAAGGCACAGCTGAGCTCCAGTTTCCTCTCATATCCTCCTCATATCCATGGCTCCAGTGACAGTGGCAGGCTCACACAGGTTTTTACCTTTGCCTCTTTTAGTGGTGGAGACCTTGGAAACAACAATGGTTCAATTTGGATATTTTGCATAATTTTGAAATGGTATCAAAGCTATTACAACATATTCCAAGGGTGACCAAAAAAACTTCAGTAAGATAGCTCATTCCTATTGTGTCTGTACCTCTGAGACTTGACCAGCTTGTATTTGAAGGGAAGAAATGAAAGCTCTTGAGACAGTTAAAGGTCAATTGAACTGGACAGTAGAAACTATCTGGTAAAAAACAATACCATAGTGGTATTCTTTAGAATCTACAGTCCCTCTGTGTACTGAAATCTGCAAGGCTGTGCACTGTAATATGCTGTCAAAAAGTATCTGAGCTATCACAGCTTTATGCTCTTAAGGACATAATTAAGCACATTTCTCTGTTTTGAGTGGGAAAGGGATAAAATAATTCATCTGACAAATGAAATCAAATCTCCTACTTGATTTTGTATCCACATTTCCCTAGTTGGGGTGATTTTTGGCTGGGTTTCTTCAAGGGCGAGGATGCTTGAACAGAAAGCACATGGTGTTTATCACTTCTCCCTCCTCCCAATCACCTACGAGACATTGGCAAAACATGCATGGCATGTCAAATGCTGCCTAGGCAGCATTCCCCAATCCCCTCTGCCAAAACTGCTCCAACGAGCTTTTAATCACACCAAATGCCTACGTGGTAGGCTTTTGCCATTTTATCACAAGACAAACGTGCAGATAAGTTCAAAGGATACATTCAAGCTTAAATTAACTGTACTGAAGCAGGTTTTTGAGTGATGCTAGCTGTCTTTGAAACTCTGAGATTCAGGGAAAAAAATATTTTTTTCACTGGCAGTGCTGACAGTTATCCCACACCCTCCCTGGTGCAGCAGGTGCTGCAGGCAGGAGAGGGAGGGCACTCAGCAGCAGGGAGAGCTCTGTGCCTGCTCAAGCCTGCCCTCCTGGTTGGCTTTCTTGCCTCATGCAGGTCACCCAGCTGTAGGAGAGTTGAACATTTTTAGGACCGGGAAAAAAATAACGAGATGTGAAGCTGCAAGCTGGCAAGTATTTCAAGGAAATACTTTAAACTTATATTTTTTTGGAAATAGTAAGGTTTCCAGTTGGCTTTGTCCTTTAAAAATCAGCCAAAACAAGTGGAAGGAAGAACAGAAGCAGGATGAGTCCCATGACCAAAGGAGAAGTGAAAGCCCCTCCCTGAAGGCTGGAATGAAAGATCTGACTTTTTGCTGACTCAACCCAAGCAAGCAGAGTCTCCAAACTTGTCAGGGGTTCACTCTGTCCCACTGCATTTAGCAAGTGAGATACTTCCAAAAAAATGTAACCTTAATTTCTCTCTGGCCTATAAATGAGACCAAGAAGGGTGAAACAACTTGTATGTTCCCTCTCTGAGAATTAAACATTCATCCTTCAGGCCAAAGCAGCTGTTTGTTTTAAATGCAAGTGCCTCCATCCAGCATACATGAAGAAATACAGATCCAGAGATACAATAAGATGTAATTAATTAGATCTGATGCAATTATTGGCTCTCACACGAGCCAGTGTAAGAGCTCAGCCCTGCAGTGCATAGCTAGGACCAGCACAAGACTGGGAGGAGCCCAGGCTGAGCATAACACCTATTTGTACAGGGGCCTGCCACATACACCAGAAAAAAATACTGCTTGTTTTTATATTTAAAAACCCACCAGTTCTAGCATAAATTATTGTTTTACATGGCCATTTTGGTTTTATTTGTCTTGCCTGAAATAACCAAGAAAAGTGAATTATTCCCAGATTCTGTATAACATGTTCACTTCGAGCATCAAGCACAAGCCCTGTTTGTATGAAGAGCTGAGTAACTCCATAAAAGCTCCTGGATGTCAGCTGGAATTTGGAGTCCTCAGCTCTTGGGGAAGAGCACATCCACTCGGGAAGATATGAGAAGCAGGCAGCCCCTGGAGTTATGATGCTGTGACCTTGTCCTGGTTTCTGCTGGCCGTAGGAAGCTTCTGCCAACTACCACCACAGGGGAATGGGTTCTTACCTTCCCCATCTCCTGGGCTCCCTGCCCTGCTGGGGATCTTGCTTGTTTAGCTGTGCTGAAGGATGTTAGAGAAAAGAGCTGCTTAGCTCTGGGGACATTGACATATTTGTAAGCAGATGAAGAGGAACAGGAAAGCAGACCTCAGGGAGCAATGCAAAAGCAGGAGATGAAGGCACAGAGGGTGAACACAAGCTCCATATTCATAGAGCCCACCCACTTTCCTTTCATTGCACTTGCCCCTGGGTATTCAGTGTAATATGGTGGCTTTACCAGTAAATAGGACCTGAGTACCACCTTTCACACAGGCAGTTGTCATTGTTCAGGGACACTGGTGACAGCCTCTGGCTATTCAGCCCAGGTGCCCTGAGGAGCCAGTTGTTCTTCTGCAAGCCAGCAGGAGCCTAAGAGCTGATGAATTTAAGAGGAAGCCATTAATGGATTTTCTCTTCAACACTGGCAACAAGGAAGTTCCTAGCGAAACCATCAGACACAAAACCCAATAGTTGTTCAGTGAATAATGACATTGTGCAATGCCTGGGGAGCTGAAAGGGGCTGTTTCAGAAGGGTTGGTACCGATTCAGTGGGGCTGGGTCCAGTGAAGGTGAGAGGCCGCAGGAATTCAGGCAACACCCCTTCCAAGACACTGCCTGGGGCAGACCTTGTTTACCCCGAAATGAGGCCCTTCTTGCATGTGCCAGCTGTCTTGCAAGGTTGAGAAGAAGGGCCATTATCAGCTCACCATCGGCCCCAGCAGAGGGAAAGAGAAAGCAGGTGAGAACAGTCATGTGATATATCCTTGTAACCACCTTCCTGTGGCTTGCAAAAGCAAGCAAGGCTCAACCCCATTCCGGTGTCTCTACAAGCACAGCTGATGAACATATTGGAGACAAAATCAAAATAACATGCTCTAGAGGACCTTGCTGGAGCAGGGAGGCTGGACTAGATGACCTCCAGTGCACCCTTCCAACCTTAACGATTCTGTGATTCTGGAAAAACACAGTCCAGGCAGGAAATTTCCCGAGCCAGCATGCCCTGTATCAACATTTCCTTATTCTTATCCACAGGCAATGGCTTGTGTACAAGTGTCTAATTAAAGTTAGTCTAAACGGCTCATTAACAAGAAGTGATGTTCATTACCCTGCTTTTAAGAGATGTTAAACTGAGACAGGCCAACGACCTCTCCTGTTGGAAAGAGAACACTAGGTGCTAATTAACTTGAGATTACATAAACTAATTCAGTGGTGTAGCTGGGAAGCTCTTTTCCTGACACTTAACTAAACCTGCTAATACAGTGAGCTCTGAGAAAAACACAAATGCATTTGTACTCAGATACCACTTCTTGCAGGCCAGACAATCAGAGCTGAGGAAAAGAGCAAGGATGCTTCAGACACGGGGTGCAGTGTGGGAACAGGAAGGAGAAGGACACAGGAAAGAGCTCTTTAGCTGGTAAACAGAGCACATGCAACAGCAGGAAGTCATTAAAGCGCCTACAAGGTTATCTCAAATTCCCACGAAGCAACACAGCTGACTGCCCTTCTTGTTTTGCAAGACAAGAAAGCAGTGCTGGCTTCTTGGGCTGGGGCAGACACTGGAGGGAAAAGGAGAGGGGAGTGTGTAGTGGCCTCAGTTCCATTGGTCAGAGCTTGGGAAAGTGCCAAGCAGTCATTTCTTCATCAGTTTAGCTGGGTAGACACACGGAATGGTGCCTGGGAGATTATGTAAAACCTCCCTCATCCCCTTAAATCTGCACCCCAATATCAAAAGATAAAAAAGAATGAATTAAAGCTCTTATTTCAAATCAATTTATTTAACAAACTTCAGGAATATTGCTTGACACTTCCAAACGCCTCAGAAAATTAACAGTGACCCACTGCTGCACAGGTTGCTCTATATAAGAATCTCCAAGACAATCAACTCGGTTTTGTAATATTTAGCTGTCAAAATGCATCTTTTTCCCAGCATAACTGAGCAGTACTATACAAAAAACAGTTGGGAAAAAAAGTTACTCCATTTTCCCCAGAGGACTCCCTACCCCAAACAAAAGGCCTCTTCTTCAGCTGACAGAGGGCATCCTAAAAATCATTCACAATTGCACCATGTCTAGGGTGAACTCAATGGCCAATTGTCCAGTCTCCCTCTAACCCGAGCAGGAGGCACCAGCCTGGAACCCAGTCTGGCTGTGGCTGCCTTCCAAGGAAAGGGATGGAGGCACAGGCTCCTGCTAGCATGAGGGAGAGTACACACAGAAGTGATTTCCTTGCCTGGATGCCACCAAAGTGTCACTCTGAAGTTACATTCATGTTTCTAGACAAAACATAAACACCCTTAGGTGTAGGGGAACTGTCCTGCCTGACATGGGCACCCCCAGGCACCACAGCTGAATCACTGGTTAGTTAAGGTACCCCTGGTAACTCCAAAGTGCAACTGTTTGGGACCAGGACTTGCAGGGTCTCTTTGGCCT